ACCTGCAGGGTAATCTGCACTGAGCAGCAGACCATGAAAGGTTCGCTTGAAGGACTTTATGATCCCTATTGGTGTTCGTGTGCAACGCAGACATCAGGGTCGTGGTAGATGACTGCTCATCATGACGCCAGGCGGTCAGAAGGTCATGGTCAGAGACTTGAAAGCAGAGCAAAAACAAAGGCTGAAGTTTGTGTGTGCGTGTTTGCGTGTATGTTTCTGTTTTTACCTTCTTTGGTAAGACGCCAGTCATTGTGGGGAACCAAAAAAAAAGCCTTCTCCAGACTCTTTGAACAGTTTCTTCTTGCCTTTATCACAGCTTCTTCATCACACTCCAACATGAATATGTGCATCTGCAGTCGCATGTCTCATACACACAGGATGAGTTCTTGTGAGTGTGTCTGTGTGTGTGTGGGGGGGGGCGGTGGGGGGGTAAGCTTGTGTGTGTATAGAGGATCATTATAACCATTCCTGATAGAATGGGCTGAAATAAGAAGGATTATATGTTTATTAACATTGTGGCCTGCCTTTAAATAGTCCCCAGTTGCCATGGTTACCTGCTGTTATATTGCTGTTTAACAGTAGCTAGCATAAACTGTCACTGGTTGCCATGGTGACCTGACATTCACTGGCTAATATTCTGTCAGCGTGTTATAACTGTGTATCACTGTCTTAAAATATGTTATGCTGCATCAGTGATATGTCTTTATGATCCATACATATTACCTGCAAGTGATAAGTGACAAAATCAAAAACCGATTACATATTGGGAGGCGACGAAGAGCCACTTATTGGGGCAGGCCATACCACCAGCCATGCAGCCTATCGGCCAGGTGATAATCTGGCCGACTGAAACCTCCTGACCTTGGGGTCAGCGTCGGCTCAAGGCGGGCTGGCACCGGAGAAATCTGCAGCAGTGGAGAGGATTCCCACACTTGCTGCTAAAAACTGGGCAGAGTGTCCGTCAATTTCTTGTGGTTAAAGTTCCTCGCTAACACGTAAAACGCCTCCAGGTCTTCATCTGTAGTGAACTAACGGTGTCATGCAGCTCCTTCGATGCTGTAACACGGTTTTGGATCCATTTTATTTTGTTGGATGAAAAAAATCCTGCCTAAGATTAATAGCTGTTAGTGAACAGTTTCTCCACACATCCATTGAGTGGAAAAGGAACCAGTATCAGGAAAGCATGCTGTTTCTCTGGAACCAGTTTCAGCAAGGTGGATTAGAATATCCAGGCTGGTACCCAGTACCTGAGAGTTCCTGTCTTGTACGTTGTCAGGATAACTGTACCTACTTTTTTACCAAAGTTTCTGTTCCCTGACTCCCCTGGTTCCTGATCTCTTGCTCATCACTGGTTCAGAAAGCCATCAGAAGCCTGTTGTGTGTGGTTGTGCATCCTGTATTTGATGCATTGTGGAGACTCTCTGCTCCCAAAGAAGAAATGCTGTTTTTGGGTTTGGGTTAAGGTTTAGGACCAAGGTGTGAATTGAGTTTTACTTAAATTTAGGGTGAATGGAAGTCAATGGAAAGTCCCCGCAAAGACAGTGAGACAAATGTGTGTGTCTCACAGAGAATCCCTGCATTAAGCAGCCAGAAATAGTCTGTAAGGAAATCAATGTTCCTCTGCCAGTGGCGCTGGGAGCTGTCTCCTCGACAATAGAGGGACTGTCCTGTTTCCTGCACCCCAGAGGGAGAGGGTGCGTGTGTGTGTGTGGGCGTGTGTGTGCGTGTGTGTGTGTGCGTGTGCGTGTGTGTGTGTGTGTGTGTTTGGAAGAGGAAAACAAAATGATGGTGAATTCAGGCATATCTGTGCTGTACCCAGGTTCTGCCTCGTCAGCTAATGACAAATATAAAAAAGCTAGCAGATGAAAAATAATGAGGGTGAAGGTAGCGTCACGCGAGGTTAGCTTGGAACACCTGTATTATGAATCACTGGAGGAGGCAACGGCGTTCATGTGAAGCCGTCTTAATTGGTCTTGTAAGGGACGGAGGGCGACTTTCTCACCGATATTTTTTTCTTTATCGTTGCTCTTACACGCTATTATTATCATTCAGCTTATTTCAGTTTGTATATTAAGCACCAATTCACAACAAATGTCACCGCAAGGCACTCAGAAGCAAGAGAGCGAGTTAACACACACTTAGACTCGTATTAACTCAGTGATACATTTTTAACAGATAGGAATGTCTTTCAAAAACAATATTTGTGTTTTAGGTCGTATGAATGCTGTGAGTTGCAGTTATGACAAAACAGTTGCCTATAAAATAAGTATTAAATAGTTTCTTATCATTTTTATTATTATCACGATGAAGCCACAAAATTTTGCAATAAATTTCTAGTCCTGAGGGGGGTTGCCCTGACCCTGCGTGCGCTTTTGCTAGGTTTAAAAAAAAAAAAAAGTCAGTGGCTTCAAAAGTGGACGGCCGTTCTTCAATGTTTTCTAATTTATGCCGTACATTTGAACATCTTTATTATTTAGAATTGAGAAATAAAAAAGTTTTAAGTGTGGATTTAAAAAAAAAATTCCTAGCATTATAATTGTTATTATTATTCCCAATATTCAATTCTTCAGCTCAGCGTGAGCAGAAGAAAACGCTTCAAGCCTAATTAATTATTCAATACAAAATGAAGGGATGGACAAAGTGTTAACTCGGCCATTACTAAGACAAAAAAAATGTGATTTGATTCACTCAAAAATTCAACATGTTTCAATGTCTTTGTATTCCTTTTCTTAAAGAATCAATATTTCTAATCGGTTTTGATCAATTTCCAAAATAAAATATTTCATTCATTGATTCTTTGGTGACAAATGCAATGTTAAATTATTAAAACTGATAATAATATTGAGACAAATATAATGAAAAATAACTATAAAATGTAGACAGCTGTGGAAGCCGAACCTGCAGCGATGCAGTTTGTTGAGCTGGATGTTGTGAACTTGATGAAGAAACGTTTATTTCCGTCGTTAGAAACTTGAGGCAAGACTTGGACTTCTGACTGCCTCCGTCATGTGGTGACAGTGAAAGGAAAATGGTGCCAACATCAGTAAGAAACCTGCAGAACCTGGAGCAGTCTGAGCAGCCATCTGCCCAAATCAGCTGGAGCTTTGAAAAGACGGATCCACAGATCCACAATAAGCAGGTCAGGAAGTGAAGGGGGCGATTTGAGGTCAGGGTAAACTCAAGCTTCAGAGTTCACGTGACAAAACTGGCGCATTATTGTGACTGAATTCAAAACTTTGCATGCTTTTCAAACATCTTTTTTCCAGAATCAAGAGATACTGAATGTCTTGATTCTTGCTGTGGGAAAGAGAGCTGAGAAATAGCAGGCTGCGAATAATCTCCCTTACGAACTCACAGTATCTGATTTTACGCTCACCAACTCTTTCAAAATTTGACATTTGGATTATTTATTTATTTATTTTTTACAGTACATTGGTGAACTAACAGCATCATGAAAACAAGAGAAAAAGGCAGACAGTTCAATATTCAAACATCTGAAAGCTACCAGAAGTCCTGACTGTAGTTTGCCACAAACCGTGTTGTGAAGCATGGTGGTGACAGCGTCATTTCGATACACGGTAGATATGGCATTTTAATTAAACCAAGCAGAAAAGAACAAACTACTGTAGGCCAGGAAAAGAGTCTAGATAAATGGAAGATGGAGAGTTTCTTAACTTCTTTTGGTTGAATGTTTTCTGTTTCCCTGCCACCCTGTAAGGACACATGGCTACAGACAGCAGATGTCTTGGATTCTGTGGGTCTAGAAAATGGTATCTAGTTTATGTCCAGAGACGACTATGTGAACTTTATTCAAAAACCCTTCACACAAACATTTAGAGCCTTTTTTTCCCCAATGTCACAGATAGTTAAGGTGTTTGGGTAAAATTCTGGATCTCTGTCTCGTGAAGTGTTTCTGCGGGAAGGAACCCAGAAGAACCAGAACCTACATAAGACCCTGATCCGTCTTTGGACCTCTGGATGGACCCCCGCTGTTGTAAAGTATCTCGTTCTTCACCCAGTGTGTTTCTGAAGATCTTTTGTAACGAACGACAGTTTTATGACGGTACCTGGTACCAGGCTGGCCAATATTTACATTGAATGATTAAAACCCTCTTTTTCTTTTTTTTTTTAAACTCGGTTTAGCGTGGAAGATAATTAAATTAAAAGTTCTGCAGTTCGGTGGCTTTCTGTGTCTGCCAGTAATACACTTAAGCTGCTTCGTACATTGTGGAATCAGCAGAAGTGAAAATGGGAGAGTGTGCTGAAAGTCTGCAGCGGTGACTTTCTGCCTGGTGAAAGGCTGTGAAATGAAACGGGGTGGCATTGCATCACTCTGAAAATATCAGAGAAGAAATCCAGCTCTTTGGGATTGAATTAGTGACAGATGGAGCAATTATTAGCCCCACTGCTGTTCGTAATTCGTAACAGGACGGCTCTTAGCCTCCAGAGTTCTGGTTTCACGGTCAGGGAAGGAGGTTCCCTCTGTGGCCAAATGCTTTGAACATGATCCTGCTGTAAACCCTCCATGGCAAACAATGTTCAGTTCACTGGCAGAGTCCACCACAATTTTAGTTTTCAATTAAACTCCCTGGTACTGGTAACATGTTGGCTGTGCAACAATCTCTACCAAACGTTTTTTTAGCGTCCTGTTAGCATTAGGTTGTTATGAAGTTGAGTTTAAAGTGCTTTATATTGTAAAGACAAAATACAGTGGCCAATTATGAAACAAGCAATAATCATTACATTTTGTGAAACGCTATTATGGAAATCATCAGTTCACATCAAATACCTTGATCAGAGTTCAGTTTTTGGCAGTTTTGCAGTTTTCTGGCAGTTGGATCCAGATATAAAGTGCATAGAAACACTTTGTGTTAAGAATTGGAAGAAACTGAATGATATTTTTGCATAGACTGGGTAGTATTTGTCAGAATCAAAACGTCTTAAAATGAAATAAACAAATGTAAAGTTGAGATGATTTAGTTTTTTCTCTTGTGTTTCAGAACTCCTCGGCTCCACGAAGAAGGTGAACGTGAACTTTCAGGATATTGATGGGTAAGTCGGCGACTCAGTTTCAGTCTCAATCTAACAGCTTATTCCACCAGAAGCATTTTTTATATAAAAGATTCATAGAATTTTACCCACGTGGTTTTTTGCTGTACAGATCAAAAACAGTGTTTTGCTTAACATCTGTGGTAAACCTTTCCAGTCCACGTTGTTCATTTCTTCTTTGTGACTGTATTCTGCATCCATGCGGTAGACAGTCATAATCCTCTTAGTCTGATGACTGAAACGACACAAAATTAAATTCTAATCTGTCATTTATATCATCTGCAGTGAGGAGATGAAAACATTGAGCTGCTTCTTCAACGAAACCTCCATTTTAATCACTTTAATTGGTCATTTCTTTCCAAACCGCTTGCACAGAATTAATTGCGAGTTGATGACCAGATGTTTGTGACGTTCTGATGGTGTGGTGCAGAAATAGTAAACTCGTTTTGCTTCGCTGATGGATCCGCTTGCAGCTCCGTTCTTAATGTGCGGATGCTGTTAATGAGTCTCCACCAGCTCATTCAGTTTAGGTTCAATTCCTCCTCCTGCTAATTATCTGGAGAGTCTAAGTGAACAAACTAAAACAGAGAGAGAGACAGAGAGAGAGGATGGATATTTGTTACTCTTCATTCTGTTACAGTTGCAGGAAGTGTGCACAAGTCAAGTACATCAGAGGGTTTTCAGGAGCGCAGACGTTTAGATGTTCAGTCGCTTCAGCAAGTTAAACATCCCATTTTCTCTCTGTTTAACTGATAGGAGTGTGAAACAGAAAATTCTTACCCTGATTTTGGTGTTTTATATCAGTTAGCCTGGCGCTAGCTGCCTGTTTTGATATTAATGTTGAATCTGGGGCAACTGTCGTTGAGTTGTTATTGGCAATGCAGTTGCGCAATTTGAGATTTAAAAAAAAAAGTGCTTGGCAATTTCGGCAATTTCGAAAACAGCACACAAGTCGCACAATCAACAACCAGATGTTGCCGCTGGTGAAAACCATAAAGAAGTAAGTGACAGGAAGTAGTTGGAAGAAAATGGTGTATCATTTTTTTATTCACATGAATAAAATTATTCACATGGGTTTTTAATTGCAAAATTGTTGCTTTTGAACATCACTGTTCACTGTTGACTAAATTTTGTGCAGATCCGTAATGAAAACACACCTTGTGTGTAGAGCAGTTGTTTTCCAGCCAGAGGGATATAGGTTTGATGTGCCCTTGGGCAAGGCGCTTCAACCCAAGTTGCTTACTGATCTATGTTATCAGCGTATTAATGTGTGCGTGTTACTAGTTGTGTTTCCATCGATGTGTTTTTTTAATGAGCATTTTGAAGTTTGGCATTAGAAAATGTCGATGGGAGCCGCAAAATCTGAAATAATGTCCTCAGTTTCTTTAAAACATTTGTGCGCTCGCTTGACGTGGTTTTTGGAAATTCATTTGCTGAAAAGGAAATTTATGTTTGCCAAAAAACTTCTGCTGTGGTGAACATTTACCCGTTTACTACAGCCATGCGTAGTCAACAGCTGATGTAATCACGTGTTGTGTAGCCTGGCTGATTCGCTCCAAACCAGTAGATGGAAGCAGACCGAATTTACGTGGTCTTTTTTGCACAACATTGGCATTAAAATTTCCATGTGGATTGTTTCTATCCCCTTCTCCTGACTGATACATTTCTACAATTGAATTAAATAATTGCTTAAATCTTATTGAGCCTCTAAGCAAACTGTGCTTTTGGAGACTTGAGGAGAAATGAGAAAAATCCTTCCAAGACAGCTGGACATAGTTTTGCTTTAACTCAAGAAGATTATGTTAGTTTAAGTATATTCAGTTACTAATATCACTGGTGAGACCCTGTTCATAATTTTCTAAAGCTCCTTTTTTCTATTGTTTGTAATGCAACCCAACCATATGTTGACCTTGTATGGGAGGAAATATTTCTTTTGTCATTTTTTAAAGCTCAATAGATGCCATGAAACACTGAATGTCTGCATTTGCTGTTTCAAGTGTCCCAATCTGGCCTCAGGAACAGGAAGCATCAGATGGGTTTGAGGAGGGAAATAGAAAAAGATAAGAACAGCAAGGGAGCGACTGGAAAGGAAGCGCCAGATGAGACACAGAAGAGAGCTTTGTTCATAAGCGGTCTGACTTTCAGGGTGTTTGAGAAAGTGAGGCGGGAGAAGGAAGGTGTAGGGGATAAATGTTGCATTTCATGTTCTACAACTTGGCAAAAGCACAGACCTCTCTCTACTTTACAAAATACCTGCAGCCAGCTGAAACGCTGGAAGTTTTTTTTTAAATGGAGGAATCCCTGTATAACCCTGGAGGGAACAGGTGAGTCCAATGGAGAAATGCAGCATTTTTCCCCAAGATTTAACCCTTGCCATGCAAGAATGCGTTACAGTCCCTGTCATCCATCCTGCAGAACAGCCGAGCTGACAGTTTTTATAAAGTTAGTCATATACGGTAATCAGAGGGACTCTGGAGGCTTGAGGTTCCCAGATTCCTCTGTTAAAAGAAACAATCTTTAGTCAGTTTGACACAAGTTGATTGGGGGTCAATTGGTGTCGGGCTATCCGTCATGCTGACATAATCAAACCTAAAAAAAAAAACAGTCTTATTCAAGTTTTTTCTCCACAGCTGGAGTTCAAATGTTGAAGACGATGGTGAGGAAGCTTTCTGACTCCCTTAGTTAGAAACTTTAAAGTATTTTTGGTTTTACAGACACTCTCTTACTTTTAATTGAGGTTTGTGCAGTCAGCGTTATGCAACCTCAACTTTTTGGAGCTTTACATCATGCTACAATTTTGTTCCCTCATCAGAAACATACCTGGAGTGTTGTCTTAATTCTTTCACGCATGTTTGAGAAATCCTTTAATCTCCCGTGGCAACCGTTCAGCTGTGCTAAACATCTGGATGCAGAAGTTTAGCCCAGTTAAAAGGTTCCAGCAGGAACCTTTGTATGTACACCAAAATTGATTAAATATGTTACCATTTCTAATGCATTGAGATGTATGTAATTAGTTTATCTTAATTAACCTTTTAAAGTTCATACCTTAATTATTATTTGTTGAGAAACATTTATGTTCCTTTTTGAGGCAAACTTCAACAAAACAAACAAATTTAAAATACAAATTTCTTATTGTTATGAATCATTTTGGCCTTAGCCTATGTTCTGTTTTACATTTACACTCTATTGGTAAAAAAATGTAACTTTTCAAACAGAGTGCTGCACAATGCAGCATTGCTGAAACTGTGTCTGGCTGCGGTTCCTCGGAGGTTGCTGTCCAGTGTTGTCAGGGTTTGTCAAGCAAACAGGCTGATGTCAGCCATTCTTATTTTTGCATTTGGTTGTTTCCGGTCGCCAGGCAGCGGCAAGCCCGGAGAACGACTCCATTCATCGCACATGCGACCTCTTCTTTGACATTTCCACCTGACAAAACATCTCCAGATTCAGTCAGTAGGAGCTGCTGTGATGAAAAGCCAAAATAAACGTCTATGAACTCCAGCGTTTCTTCTCCCTGATCCTTCCATCCTTATGGCAGGATGTCACTGTCCTGAAAGGATGCCTAACAGCCCGTCAGTGAAAAGGCCTCTCTCAGCAGTTTTCTAACTGTTTCACAACAGACACACACGGCTTGATTGCAGAACTGCAACCCGCTGGTTGCAGTTCTGCAATTCAATGCCAGTTAACAGCTGGCATTGAATTAGTTTGTCTTTTTTAAACTAAGGTACATGCGGCCTTTGTGAAGGTGTGGGACATTTCACAAAAACGCAAAATACAGAAGCATTTGTGTGTGAAAAGCTATGTCTGTTTTAGTGACGTATGATTGTGAGAGTCTGTAGCAAACAGGTGCCACCAATCAAATCTGTGGAGTGAGCGAAATCAAAAACAGGACAGTGCTATAAAAGTATAAATTTATTGCAGTTTTCCGTCCCGGAGCTTTCAGTACTGTGTTAGCTCAGCGCCAATGAGAAAAGACATTAGCAATGAGTTGAGAAAAGCAATAAATAGCTGCCCATCAAACTGGAGAAGGTTATGAAGGCATTTCCAAACAGTCTTTCAAACAGCCTTACTCAATGCGGTCGTCTCTGTCGCATCTTCATGTTGGTGAAAATGTGAAGGTATGTTTTTCTCTCTAGGGAAAAACAAGAACAGCATACCAGAAATAGATCTGCAGGCATTGTGCTGGAGGGAAGATTATTTGGTTTGTAGCCTCAGTAGCTACAAACCAGAGGCTATAATGAGCAGAATTACTATTGCAACAACACATAATCAGTAGGATAAAACTAACCTGTCTCACGACGGTCTGAACCCAGCTCATGTTCCCTATCAGTGGCTCCTACTAGATGCTAGGTGGATGGATATTACTCAGACCTCTTCTTCCTGCTGCTCTCTTTGCGTCAGATTGCGTCACTGCATCACATGTTCAGCAGTCCTGACCTAGCTGTGTCGATCATGGATATAAAGCTTGACCTGAAAACAACTCCTGAGTTGATCACACCATCGTCTCTGTGCAGGAGCATTCTAAAGTACAGTAGGAGGCCATCTTTCTGATGGCTAAACATAGCAGCAAATCTACAAAACAGAAGACACGCGACCTTGTGAGTCAAGTTTGATTGAAAAAACATTTGCCCCTTTCAGATCACTTTCTCTTTTCACTACACATAAGTTTGGCCGCTGAGCTCAGTGACCCTAATAACTTTCAGATCATCTACCTTTGATTGCAGAAACAAATAGGCAGGACTAAAAACTCAGCATTTCACCTCAGCAGTGGGTGAAAGGGATGAGCCTTCGTGGAGGCTTTTACAGATTACAAGTTATGTCAAATACAAGCTACGTTGTTGGAACTATCCTCAATATGCTCCTAGTGCTTTTGCTCCTCCACAATCCTGTTTTACCCTCTTACACAAAGTGGTTTCAGCTATGTAAAGGCCAGCACTGATGGATGATAAGTAGTGATGAAAACGACACTAGCGCTAATCAGCGAAGGTCTACTTTTTATTGGTAAAAGAACTTCCAAACGCTACTGTTACATTTTTGCTAAATTTGAGTTCAAAATGGGATTTTACTATGGTTACCATATACTAAGAGCAGCAGTCTCGATACGTACGATATTAAACTGACAGGAGTTTTTAATTTTTAATTTTTTTTTGCTGTCACTTTTTATGAGTGTTTGTTGGAGGCGATTTCATTTCTGTTTGCCAATCTTTGTCCTTGGGTTATGCGATGCTTTTTTCTCCTTATGCTTCTCATCATGTTTGTCCATCAGAGCTGACATGACAGTGGCATCCTCAAGCTGCAGATGCACACACACACACACACACACACACCCACACACATGCAGCACGCACGCACGCACGCACGCACGCACACACACACACACACACACACACACACACACACACACACACACAAATCCTTGTGCTTCTATCAGTCTGAGGACTTTGTTTTGACTTCCATTCAATTAAGTAACTACATTTATGCCCAACACAGACATTTTCCGTAACACTAATCATTACTAGTCTATTGCTATCCCTTACTAGTACCAGACTGGTCCACCTAACCCTAACCTTAACCACAGTTGAATTCACACAATACCTCTAAATGTAACTTATAGAAGTGCAAAGCAAAGGTAAGATCAGAAAAACATCCCCACTTTCTACAAATGACTGGCCTTTGTTGGTGAAAATGGTGATTATCTATATGTAATACATATATGTACACACACACAGTCCTGTGCAGGATAATACGCAATGGGTTAAATCTCCATTATGCATTTCCATCTCTCCATCCTCTGGCCTGTTTAACAGCTCTGCAGCAAAGACATGTTTGATCCCTAATCCCCTGCTATTAAATCCATTTGTCATGCTATCTTTGTCGTTATCTGTGACCCGTGATTGTACGTTTATGGGTGTGGATGGATGGATGTGTGTGGTATAAATATTAAAAATTGTCTGACCCTACGACCTCTTGATGTTTTCTCTCTCTCTCTCTGTGTGTGTGTGTGTGTGTGTGTGTGTGTGTGTGTGTGTGTGCGTGCGTGTGTGTGGGTGTGTGTGGGTGTGTGTGTGTGTGTGTGTGTGTGCGTGTGTGTGTGTGTGTGTGTGTGTGTGTGCGCCCCTTCAGGTTTTCTCCCCTGCATCATGCAGCTCTTAATGGGAACCTGGAGCTGGTCTCTCTGCTGTTGGAGTCGCAGGCTGCTGTCGACATCAGAGACCAGAAAGGTATGGAGGAAACCAGCTGATGTACAAAAACTCTTCACTTATCAGTTCCTCCAGTGTTTTTCTTTTTCCACAATCGTGAAAATTCACGAAAAACAGATACCTGCATCTTTTTATGCTAATGCATAATTGTGCGTTCATTGCAAACTGTAAATTGTCAAAAACATTGAGTGTAAGTGACTAACACCCACCAGTAGGGGGCAGTATTTATTACTTCTACTACAATGCTGCCTTGGTTATCAATATGGTGAAAGGCCTGTCATGGTAAATTGTCCAATTAGTTATTGAGATAAACAGTTACATTGTTTTGATGCAATTTTCAAATAATGTTCAAAGATCAGTAAACTTTAAATTCTCATTAGCATTTAAGTCTGCAACTGAAAGACAAATCCAAAATAAATAACAAAACAAAACAGAAACAAGTAAAATTAATCATAAAGTAATTCATCTCATTACAGGAGCATAATCTGACACTGGCAAATGTAAAAAAATCCATCCTTTAGTTTGGGTCTGTTTCTTTAGTAGTAAAAAGATTTTACATTAAGATTTTATTAAAAACACTTCAACCTATTTAACCATCATTCTTTGCACAATCTCCCCAGGTTAGGCCATTGAAAGACCGATAAACCCACAGCATCACAGATCCTCCTCCGTACTTAACACTAAGGATTTCTAGATATTCATCCTTTGTTTTATGGTGTTTGTGGCAGAAAAAGTTCAACATTAGCCTCATTTAGCACTCAGAAGTGTGTAACAAACTCCACATGTGTGTGTTCATGATGGTGTGACAGAAATGTCTTTTTCCTGCATCACACAGTGAGTTGTGCCTAACAGTTGCTATGGAGATGTTTGCTGCAGTTCGCCGACACTGTTTGTTGAGACATCATTTTAAAGGATCTTGAACATCCTTAAGCATTATTTCTGACATGTAATTAAGTGTCCTCAAATTGAAACTAAAAGGATTAGTTTTGACACTGCAGTGAAATCTTTATTTATTTCGAAGCTTTTAATCATATTTTTAGGGACCTAAAACCAAAACTCAGCCAACATGACTTGTGTGGTTCCTTTTGGCGCAGGAATGCGGCCGCTGCATTACGCCGCCTGGCTGGGGAAGGCCGAGCCAATGAAGATGCTGCTGAAGTCGGGTTCGTCTGTCAATGGCCAATCAGACGAGGGCCAGATCCCTCTGCACCTATCAGCACAGCATGGCCACTATGAGGTGGTAAGTGACACAGAGGATCAACCTCGGCGCTAACTCACATCAGCAACAATTTTTAAAAATTAGGATTTTTAACAGTTAGGACTTGTATAAAAAAAAGATATTAACAAAATATTTGTGTTGGTATGCATCTTCCTGGCTTTTTTTCTGACATGCCTGTGTGTTTTTGTTTGTCATCCTTCACTGCAGTCTGAGATGCTGCTGCAGCACCAGTCCAACCCGTGCATCGTGGATAACGCAGGGAAAACGCCTCTGGATTTGGCGTGTGAATTCGGCAGGGTCGGGGTGAGGAGCTGTACTTCACTTTGTCTGGAGAACATCGTTGGAAAACCAAAAACTGTTGGCTAACTGGTGATCTCTTGCTCGTGTGTGTAGGTGGTCCAGTTGTTGCTGTCTAGTAACATGTGTGCCGCTCTGTTGGAACCCAAAAAGGGAGACACTGCAGACCCCAACGGGACATCTCCACTCCACCTGGCTGCTAAAAACGGACATATAGACATCATCAGGTGCGCATGTGTCTGTTTTAGATTTGAATGTGGAAAAATCTGGGATGTGTTCATCCATCCTGTGACTGAAAATATTCAAACACCTGATGTGTTTGCAGATCCTCCTTGTGCTCCATGTTGTCTTCATAAAGTTACTGTCAGATCATTCCACCATGGTCTGAGCTCACGATTGTCTGCGCTTTTGTGGAACTCGATGGTGTCAGTGTTCAGCACAGATCTTCAGGTTGAAGAAAGCAGAATGGGTCTGCAGATAAAATCCCGTCACAAATGTCGTTCTCAGTTGCAGTGAAAAATGATATGAGATAAAACTGGCATAGAGGGAAAAAAACATGGGAGAGGCAGAAAGGAGAAGCAGAGGGCGGCAGATTAAAGCCTGTCACAGCCGGTGGAGCAGAACCTTCCTCTCTAGAAGTGACACTGGTAAACGATGCTCAGTAGCTGTGGCTAACTACCTGTGGTACAGACATGCTTATAAAATAAAACACTTAATGATAACATTATTATCATCTGTTTGTAGTTTTACTAATCTGGAGAACACTGCAAACATGTAAATGAAACTTTTAACCTTTAAAACAGTGTAGAAAACTAATACAGCACAACCCTTAGTCGCACCATTCAATTTTCTTTCCAAAAATATGTTACTTCAAGAAAACTAAAGCAGAAATGACAGTTTCCTCTGTCTGTCTTCAATACCACTTGAACAGGTTGATGGAGCAAGTGCTTTTTGGGCTTCAGTGTTTTTTTTTCTTTTTACTTGAAATGTGTCAGAGAGAAAATATCAGACAAAGCCAGACTGGCAGATTCCTTTTGCTTTCTGTTTCTGTGCCAGCAGTGACCAGACTGCGCTGTCACATCGTGTCTAATGAACGGCGATAAAAGTTGCATTGATCTCCTGCTCTGATTCGCAGCCAGAATGCAAATAAGCAAACAGAGCAAACTTGGTGGGATGCACATTTTATTCTGTGGCAACTCCTGGAGCCAAGCGACGGAGAGAGTCTAACGGATGAGCTGCAGGGTGTTAAATTTTGCTGAACACATTTATTGGCAGCCCTGGGGAAAAAAATGCCATAAAGGGGCACTATTATCTAAAATCATCTTTTTTGAGCATTACATCATGTTAGAAAGTTATTCTTTCATATAAAACATACCTTTGATTCTTTCATGCATGTTTGACAAATCCCTTAATCTCCATGGCAACCATTCAGCTGTGCAAAACGCCTGGGAGGACCTAGCTCCGCCTTCGAGGACGAAGCTCCTCCGTGGAGCTGCAGTTTTCAAGCTCCTCCCTAACTGAGCTTCTCCAGACACGCCAGGAACAATCAGGAAACATCTGGTGGAAATGGAGTGCTCAATAGGAGCTGCTGTCTCAGTGCAACATTGCTAGAAATGCTGCGACGACTTCATGAAGGTGGAGTTTCAGAAAGCGCAGGAGCTTCTTAAAGCGACAGAGGCCCAATTTCAAGGCATTAAATGTCAAAGTCAACTTTCTTAAATGTCACATTTGATATGCATAGCATTTTTATAAAGGGGACACAGTTATTTGTTTATAAGAGAAACAGGCCCACAGCATCACAACTCCTCTGCCGTATTTGACATCATGCTTTTAGTTGTTTAACACACATTTTGTGTTTCACAACAAGCCCACCTGCTGCTGGAAAATTCAGTCTGTTTCATCTTATCAAACATCGTGCCACCAGAGATTTTGTTAAAATATATATATATATATATTTAAGAAAATGTCATTCCACAAAATTCACATAAATGTTTCAGAGTGTAACATTTATGTGTTACACTCATAACACACAGGATGTGTACCATCACACATCTTGTTCTGTGTCAATAAACCACAGAGTTTCTTTCCCTCAGGTGTCAGGCTGTATGGCGTCGGTTCATTTCTGGACATATTCTCCATTCATTTAAACCCTCTTCAACTTTCTTTCCCTCATTTTCTTTTTTCTTCTCTCTCTCTTTCTTTACCCATCTCTCTCTGTGTGTATCTCTCTCTCTGTCGCCTTCTGCTGTCAGGTTGCTGATCCAGGCAGGCATTGACATCAACAGGCAGACCAAAGCCGGCACTGCCCTTCACGAAGCTGCCCTGTGTGGCAAGACGGATGTGGTGAGACTCCTGCTGGAGGTAAGCGGAACTGCAACACAATCCTTGAAAGAACTGCAAAACTGGGACTGTCCTGTCACACCGAAAAAAAATACATTTTTATCTTTTTTTTTTTTTTACACAACATTACTCTTGAAAAGTGCAGAAACTTCAGTTTGGCATTTTACAGGTTCAGATTTGTATGGAAAATATATATATATTTGGATTCCCAGACTATTACGACAAAAAAAAAATGAAGTCTTCAGGCACACCTGAGCACTTTTTTGATGGGTTTTAAATAAATATGCATATAATTGTTTATAATCTTTTCAAAGATTTTAGGCTCAGTTTTATTGGGTTGTTTGACCAACTGAGATGGCATTTTAAGGGTCTCAAATTTTATTTTCCAGGTTAGACAGGCCAATAATACATGATTCACAAAGAAGTCAATTTTTTCTTCTTCTGAATGTTCCATCTTTAAACCGGAAGCTAAGATGTTAATATCTTTTCACAATTGCTTTCTCTGAGTCACTTTACATGGTGTGTTCATTCTGAGGATAGCGCCCTCCAGTGTTGCTGACAGGAACGTTTTACTATGGCAGAACAGTCAAAAAATCTCCAAACAGCTAAATACTGAAGCAAAGCTGATCTAATTTCCTTGTAATCAATAGAAAACATTTACGGGTCTCAGAGTAAAGGGAGATGCACAATATTCTATTCAGATATTTATTTGTGCAAAAATAAATGTGTGAAAATGACAAATACGTATTTTGTGGATTTGATCCCATAAATGAGGACAAGTTTGCAAGATTTTCCCTGAAAATGTCTGACATTGTCTTACAAGGGCAGTATCATTTAAAAGTAAGCTTTTTTGAACTATAAGTCATGCTATAATGCTACCCAAAGTGTTGCCTTGATTCGTTCATGCAGGTGTGAGAAATCCTTTAGTCTCTCATAGCAACCATTAAGTTGTGCAAAACACCTGAGCGGACGTAGCACTCCTCAGACTAGCCAGCAGCACTTCGCAAACACCTGGTGGCTCTGTGCTCATCAGACGAGCCACTAAAAAGAGCAGGAGGTTCTTAAAGAGACAGAGGCCTTTCTATAGTCGTATTTGACATATGCAGCATTTTTAGAACAGCTGCGGTGACATAATTACTTGATTGTGCTATTAAATGACACGACGTGCCTGGAAAACACATAACACTGCCCCTTTAATGCTGCTGCCTTTTTATGAAGGCATGTTCAATAATAATAAAAAAACCCTGCAGCTCATACCTGTGACTTCAGTGAGTCAGAGCTATGAGAGAGGCTGTGCTAACACCAAACGGCCTCCTTGTGACAGTGACGGTTTAGCCCCGGAGGTTTAAGAAAAACAGAAGCAGCCGTATGTTGGGATGTCTGCAGCTCCTCTGGCGTGAGAACGCAGCACATTCAGGACCCCGGCTCTGAGAGGCTGTGAGAAGTTACCCCGGAGCGCCTCAGCACCCAATTCGTCTTTGTTCGTTTAGTCCGAGTTTGATGCCGCAGAACCCAAATAGAACGTCACTCCTGACTGAGCCTGCAGCTGAAAAATCAGATGCGGTTTGTAATTAGGAGGAGAAGCCAGAGGGGAATGTGGTTATGTTGTGCTGATGTCACCGAGGTGCATGCAGACAGCTGCAGTTATGAGTTCAGAGCACAGGAGACGTTATGCTTTCAGTTTTGTTAAGACAACTATAGTGCAGTGTAAGAGAAAATATGCTCTGAGTTTATTATTGTGCATTTTGTCATATAACAGCTGCAAGCATCAATGTGTTTTATCAGCACTTGATCTCATCAACACACATAAGGGCAACATTTTCAAGCCATGTCACTCTGATACTCACAATTGATTGATTGATTGATTGATTGATTGATTGATTGATTGATTGATTGACTGACTGACAGACAGACACATGGCTTATGTTGTCAATATTATGTTTGATCAGTTTACATTATTAGTACTATTTAATTTCTTAATAGTTTTTAGATATAATGTTTAGAAAAACCCACATGGTGGTGCAAATTAGCTGACGCTATAAGCACCATGATACCGGCGTGGGACTGCTGTTTTATTCAGTTTCTCTGTGTTATTGTGCATCTGTTCCTATCAAATAAACCCAATGAATAAATAACTAAATGAATAAATATGTAAACGCCCTGACGTGTCTTGCTCTGCCCTGCAGAGTGGGATCAACGCAGCTGTCAGAAACACCTACAGCCAGACTGCGCTTGACATCGTTTACCAGTTCACAGCAACGCAAGCCAGCAGGGAGATAAAACAGCTGCTGAGGGGTGAGACGGACAGAGAAAGCCGTCTTCCATAGCTGTGCTATAACAACCACAAAACCCAACATCGAATTCTCCGATGATAATGGAATTTGTTGTGTGTGACCTCCCAGATGCGTCAGCGGCGCTGCAGGTCCGGGCTCTGAAGGATTACTGCAACAACTACGACCTGACCAGCCTCAACATCAAAGCTGGAGACGTCATCACGGTAACACCCGATCCTGCAGCAACAAGGCATTAGCTGCGTTTCCATGATAGACGGGCACAAAATATTGTTGATGCTCTGCAAATGTCAAGAAAACACAATTGTGGCCTTCAAATTTAATAAGAAATGCCCATGAATAAGTTTGTTGACGCGATTAGTCATGAAAATACACACTCCTCCATTGTTCTCTTACCACTTCCTGTTGTCTTCTTCGTCGTTTCAGCCAGTAGAAACATCTGGCTGTTGATCATGTGACTTGCATGATGTGAAAAAAATGTTTCCATGGCAGTTTTATCAACAAACGTGTTTTTTTAAATGCCGTGTTTCCGTTAAGCATGTTAAATTTTTTGATTGGTTGACATAAATGGAGCGACTTGTTGCAGCTCACTGAGGATGTTAGAGCTGAGAGGAAGGAGTGAGACCTGAATGTCTTCATAACTGGAATTGCTGCAAGGCAACAGTGCTTCGACATTTGAAATGTCCACTTTTTTTTCCAGAAAATTTCAAAGATTAATCTCTGATTTTCAGAGCATTTTTGGTGAAAATGTAATCCTTTTTTTATTTCTACACCTACTACTCCGTCGTGAAATCCTAAAAATTAGCTTGATAGTGAAAAGGGTTTGCTGTTTGGGCACTACAATGAGAAACATAATCAGAATGCGAGGCTTGTTAAAGACCCGAAATCCGTTGTAGAAACGGCCCCGTTTGTCGAGGACATCAATAAATGCAAAAGCAGAAATGGCTTCAGCGTCTCCTGTTTACTACAAGCATATCTTACAGGAACATGTGCGCGCTTGTTGCCATCATAAATATCCATAAATATGAATGAGAATTAATTCAGCCTTTGGGTACTTATTACAGTTGCAACGAAGCCAAGCTGCGCTTGTGTCTTCCCTCAGGGTCTGGAGGAACAATTAGGCTGCAGTGTTGAATCTCTCCAGGGATGGAGGCAGTTTAGCCTGTTTGAAAAACAACTCGGTTACATGTTTCTTCTCATATTTGAACCTAAAAGCCATTTGTTAACTTTCACCCTTATCAGGTATTGGAGCAACATCCTGATGGACGCTGGAAAGGCTGTATCCATGACAACCGGACGGGAAATGATCGCGTGGGATACTTCCCATCCACTCTGGTCGAGGTCATCAGCAAGCGCACAGGTGTGTGTGTGTGTGTGTGTGTGTGTGTGTGTGTGTGTGTGTGTGTGTGTGTGTGTGTGTGTGTGTGTGTGTGTGTGCGCGTGTGCGTGTGTGTGTGTGTGTGTGTGTGTGTGTGTGTGTGTGTGTGTGCGTGTGCGTGTGTTTATGCGGGTGCCTTTGTGAGTGTTGGAGTGTGAAAGGTTTGTTAGACTTATTTTTAGATGTAAATATTCTGACAGAATCACAAGTCGACCATATGACACATTTGGGCTGGAAACCTAACTACACCGAGGGGAGTAGAATATCCCAGTGAAACAATTTTCCTGAACATTAGGCTACTTCATGCTTTCCTATCCATCCTTTTCACATTTAAATCATGGATTCGTGGTCTAGACACAGTAGAACTGCAGTGCTTTTGTCCCGATTCCTCGTTATCGCAGCTCCACAAGTCGCTCTTTTGCTCCTGTTCGACTCGTTTTGCTGTTGGCTCTTTAAATGTCAATGAGGCGCTTTGTTCCAACTCATTCGGCCATTTTTGTAGCTTGATGGCAGAAAAAACCGTTGCCTACCAGAACAGAAACTTTTTATTCCCAAATTGATCAGCAATGAAAGACTTGCCAATCCAACCAAGTTAGAAAATGCTACAATAATATGAATGGACACGTCTTGCAAGCAAGGCCTCGACGTTGTTAGCGGGTTAGCTAACATTCGCGCCAAGAACATGCCTGACTGTATGTGGAGGATGTGCTCCCCAAGGCAGAAATGGCTGGAAAAAAAGCCAAACTCTTCAATAATGGTTGTGTTCTCAAGGAGCTAAGCGCTAGCACACTGCGCTAACATAAGCAGAAGGCACAATGGCACTGCTAGCAAAAGACTGGCCAAGACATCATATTTACACACAACAACTTAACATCTTATATTAAGTTTGTTTTCATTTTAATGTTGTTTGCAGCTTCCAGCTGCGTTGTCTCCGTTGTTTCATAGACTGAAGGAACTTCAGCAAATCCTTCTCGATACGGCCAGGTGTTGCTGGCTGTGGTTGCTGAGGGACTTGTCCTTGAACAAAGAGGACTTTCCCCCCAAAATAAATATATTTCAAGACACTTCTAAGAGGTTTTGATTCTGAGCGACTCTGTGGGTTAATGCGGCCAAACACCGACAATTTTAGCTTTTTAACTTGTACCTTCAGCATCCTTTAATATGGACCAAAACATTTCTGTGACAAAACTGTGACGTCATTGTTGAGAAAACACAAGAAGGAACAGAGAAAATTCATTGGCTTGAAAAGTAAGACCTAAAGTTAATATAAGGGAGTCAATATAACCGAGTTGGGAGAGAATAAATTAAACTTATTTGCACTCTAAAAACTACCCTTTTATTTCAGCATAATCTTACTCTGAACCTCTTTTTTCCTTTGGGTCAGCTTTCTTCTTTAACATTATGCAAAGTAGGGGAGTAATAGAAGACAGAGGGATCTGTGACCCTGCATTGGTCCAGATTCAGCTCAGCCCTCAGGGTCTCTAACGGGTGTAGACCTGGGGACTGATGGCCATAGACAAAGGCTGGTCTTGTGTTAGGCGAATCATGTCTAACCTGTTGTGCATCGTTGAGGTTTTATGTTTTTGGATTCTTTTAAAATCATTTGGATGATCAGTTGGATTTCACTGAAATATTAAGTGTTAACACAATGGTAATGGGGTTAGGATGAGTTAAGTGTTTTAGCTTATTTACCAGTGATGCCAATAAGTATATAAAACTTGCGATCAAAATAATTGTTTGGAATTTGGGCCTTCATCTTTGAACCTAAATGTTTGAAAGTATTGTAATAGTTTCTAATATTATAAAATATAAAAAGAATATAAAATATAAAAAGAAAAGAAAAAAAAAAGGCATCACCTCCTCTGAAACAGTCCCAGTTTCACACCGTTTCTACTCAACACGAGGTGGAGTGAATATATGTGGAACTGCAGAAGACGTGAACCTCGAGTGTCAAGTATAAAAACTATTCATACTGTTTACAATAAGCACAAAAAGCAGCAACACGCATCAGCCATCATTTCAGTGGTTTAATGGGAAAACAGAATTCGGAAAGCGTCACTGCTCCAAATACCTCTGAAATAAAGCGGATAAGTGGAAATAGAACATTTTGTGTTCTTTTTTAAAGGAACTTCTGGTGAAATCTCCATATTTGACTCACATTAAAACGACCATCTTCATGCTTTATTCCCATCATATCAAACTGTTATTTTGAATCTTTGGGAGGTTGCACATTGAACATCCGTGCTCTCTGGCATCTTAGCACCGCCCTTCATCTTCTTTGAATGAGCTCCTTCTTGGTAACTTCTGTCAAGCACATTCAGATCCATCTCTATCGTCCAGGTTGGACTTAGAGGTCGTCCGTCCACTGAGGTGTTTTTAAGCTTTTATAGGTTTGTCCTGCTGTGTTTGTCTCAGCCTGTATATCTGTGGTCGTGACCTTTCCACTCAACGTTTGCCGTGACGATCTCCCTCCTGGCAACGTCCGTCTCTCCCGCACGAGACAATTTTAAATCAGTTGACCAATAAGTGGCTGCGACATGAAAACATTGGCCGAGTATAACTGATGTGCTAAATGCAGTGAAGGAAGGATGTAGTCGGCTTTGCTCAGATCGTGGAACGGTTTTTAGCAGTTTGCTAAAATATTGACTGACCTCTACAGATTTCTATTGATAGATTGATTGTGGTGTAAAAGTATGTAAGAATATTTTTTCAAATAAAGTGATGTTTAAAAAATATGGATTTAAGTTTGGCAATCTGAGCTGAGATCCATTAGCAACAGATGTGCTCAGCAGAAAGTTGTGGACAATTTCTTGTCTCCAGTTTTTACCAGCTTTGACCTACCAAATCAAATTTGTCTTCATGAATAAATTCAAACATAATTTTACTTTGTCTTCTTACCACAAGTGGTTTTCTATTATTTATGTTAATATTCCAGGTAACTTTAAGCTGCGAAACAAAGTTGTGCTTTTATTTTAAAGCTAAAACAAACGTTTGGAACTTTGTTTAGCTTCTGATGTTAGCAGTTAGCACCCTCAGTGCAGCTAGCAGTGCTAACTGTGTGTTTGCTACAGACGTTTTGCTCCTCTACAAACTGAATGAACTGCAGTCAGTCTTTTAATATCTCATTTTAAATGGCTTCATGGTTGTCTTTTTGTCCTCAGGCATTATTTTAAATGTCTCAATGATACTGGAAATAGCTAGCATTGAGTCGTGAAAATAGCTTACATTAAGCCTGCCATCAGTTTTTCTGCACATCTTTCCTTCCATTTATTTTTCACCCGATGACAATCTGCATAACCATCGTGTTGCTCTCCCTGAAGTCACCCAGATGCATTTTGAAGAAAATGCATTTGTCTGCTTTCACTTATTTGGCTGTTTTCTAAAATATGGGGCTGATCTTTACTGGATCAAAGAAGCAACAGTCTTTCCATGCTAAAGACTCTGGTACTTTGTCTGGCATCTGAAGTGAACTTCTTTACTTCCTTTTGAAATTGGGGGAAGTTGCTTTGGATGTTGCCGTTTCCACTGTGATACAAGAAAACAGACGTGAAAAAAGTTGATGGAAACACGACTTATTTTAGTAGTTTTGTCCTACATCTGAGTGTGGCAGGATGGACATTCGGTACCTCGACACAAATATTGCAGTTACGCAAACATATGGCCTGTATTATGAGATGCACCATTACACATCCCAGCTGTTAGATTGAGGCCATTTTGCTTTTCTCCGCACATTAAGACTGAATATTTAGGAACTTTTTTTTATACAATTTCCAAATGTTTTAATGAAGGTGTTAATGCAGCACTATGCACCAAGACATCATTCTGCTTATTATACGTCTATATCGTCTTTATAGAGATTTAGATCTATAGTGATTTAAATATTGCTCTGCTATAGCAAATGTGCTACCATGTAAAGACATAAGAGTAGACTCCTCATTTTGTGGTGATGTCACTCACTCCCCACACTAAACTCTCCGCACGTCTTCATACTGTACATTGCCCCCATCGTCCATGTTGGTTCTTCCTCCTATATTCCATCCCTGTGATTTTTTTTTCTCCATCAGTTGCCTGCTTCACCCTCCTTCTTCTCTTGGTTTGATTTCTAACCTCAGTTTTTGTTTTTTTAATTTCTATTATTCCCTCCTCTTTTTTTCTTACGTGTAATTCTCTGTTTTGTCGTTCGTCTGTGACGGTGGTTCACTGTTGGCTGGTTGTGTGTGTGTGTGTGTGTGTGTGTGCGTGCGTGTGTGTGTGTGTGTTTCCGTGCTTCGACACGGTGGGTGTTGTCTAGGTTTGGCCAGCACAGTCATTTGTACTCAACAATTTCAAAAGATACCGCTGGTTCCCCCGGCGACGGTTGCCCCTGCCAACGCGGTAGTCAACGGCAACGACACCACGTTCCATCAGATCCATATCCTGCCTCCACCGCCTCCTCCTCCACCACATTCCCATCAGCCACTGCTTCCACTTTTCACTTCCTTTGGGTATAACAGGTCGCCCGTGACAACCCCACAGGGAGACACACCCACTGCCCCAGGTATACACCCACTTTTCATTATATTATTATTATTATTATTATTATTATTATTATTATTATTATTATTATTATTATTATTATGTGTTACTGATGAAGATTTAATGGATGCTTTCCTCTTGTGTTTTCTACAAACTTGTGTCATGTTGAAACTGAAATATCTCAATTGATCAATTCGAATTCCTATCAGTGTTTTAATGGATTTTCTGAGAAGGCAGCCATTAAACTTTTCTGTTGTAGATCATTATTTCTCTAATTTTCTGTGTTTGTCATGCTGTTTAACTTTTTGTTCTTTACGGTTGTCATCTCCATTATTTAAGGACGAGCGGTTCTCAGTTTATATATTCCATTATATCCCACTTGAAAGCATGCAATTAGAATTTTGATACTTTAGGTGTGAGTAACGGGAATAAGGAGTTTTGTTTGTTTTTTATTAAACACTGCACATCTTCTGGCAGACTGGGTTTTTGTCTACCAAGCAGCAGGTCCAGCGCTAAATCAGAGCAGTTCTTCAGAAGATGGAGAACATCTGGACCATCACTAAACATCTTCCCACTTCATAGGCAAATTTATTATACATTCAGAAACAAGTGTTGACCGGTGAGCCGAACATGTCTTGCTAGAGATTTAAATTATTTATAGATTCTGATTATTTCAGGCACAAATATTTTAAAAAGGAAAAAGAAGATATGGGTATTTTAGCGGGAAGATGTCAAACAGAAGCTAAAATCAGCAGAAGGTCCACTGCTGACTCACATTATGGTCTAAAACCAAAAGCCATAAAATGTAAATTATAATAACATGTTGGCTTTGTTCTTGGCTAGGACCTCTTGATTAAATCTTGATGAAAATTAAAACTTGACACAAATGCAGGCCACACTTTTCAGATTTTTAGTATCAATAACTTCTTTTTTTTTCCCCCACTTCACAATTAATTGGTACTTTCTCTTAGACTATAAAAATGAAATCACAATAAAATCCATTGAGATTCCTGTTTGTAATGGACTAATAGCTGTGGATCACAATGATGAATCAGTCCATAGCTGGGTTAAAAAAGTGACTGTAGCGCCATCTTTGGTCTAGCACTGGAACTGCTTTGGTGAGAAACCCGAGGCGTCACTTCCTGGCTCATCTTTTTGGTGCCAAGCATGTCAGGATCAGAACTAATTGGACAAAAATGAACTTTTTTTTTTTTTACATTTCCAGTGACAGATTACATGATCACTTCAAAGAGTCAATAATTAGCCTTCTACGATTCGTGATGGATTATCTTAACATCAATTAGAGTCCATCTGGAACCATTTATTTGGCTTGTTTGTTATTATTTTTACCACATGGATTATTATTAACTATCATTATTCGCATTAGAAACAGGGATCTTTTTTCAGTTTCCCCGACTTTGCTTGTGATTCATTTGAATGTCTGGATTTCCTTTATTTTTATTTAAGTTTTTAATATTTTTTGCTCTTTTTTTCCCCACCACTTCCACACACAACTTTCTCCTGACCAGACAGTGTTTTCTGTTCCGTCCTCGTCTTGTGTTGTCGCCACGCTGGATCAGACTAACACTTCTACCCACCTTAACTCTGCACCCATAATACGTGTGTTTGCGTGTGTGTGTGTATACATGTGTGTGTTTGTTGCAGTTACGATGAGTCTGCCACAGTATAAAATCATCACCCTGTAATATCCACATTAGACGATGCCAGTTCACTTTGACGTAACAAAGAATAAAAACAAAATAAATGACGCTTTCCATTAAAAAAAGATAATTTCTTAAGGTTTTCTTTTTTTTTTTTTGCGTTTCATATGCTTTTGTGGCTCATTATTAACAGAATATTAATTTTTGTTGACTCGCAAGTGCAAATTACCTCAACGAAAACCCGCTGCAGCGGTGCAAAAATCAACAGTTGCGAAGGTGTAAAGTTTGTGAAACGTTGCTTTAAAAGTATCACCCATGATTCTCAGGTAAGGAACTGACATCCTATGACCCCCTCTGTTGCCTGGTTACCATTTTGTCACCTCCAAGAGAAAGAAAAAAAAATTGAGAACAAGTGGCTCCGTCTTATTCCCATTCAAAAGCGACGTTTGGCTTGTGAGTCAGGTGGAAGCGACCTTTTCCGAGGTCGCTAGGAGGAACTCGAAATGACCACAAGAAGGAGCTGTGTGATCACATGAAAGGAAATCAGACTTTATGATGTGTGTGTTTCCCTGGAGCGCTATTGGTTGCACATATAAACCATTATTAAGCCCTTAATAAAGCGGCCATAATGGTTTATAGCACTCTCCAAATGCACTACAGCCCCATTCTTAAAAGCCCCGACATATATAATCACACACCAATGGATGCATTATATATGTATGTGTATGTACATTTTTTGGCATATATGTGTATATACACAGGTATTGTATGTGTAAAGAACTGATGTATGGACAAGGAGTATATAAATGTTTTCATATATTTATATATATCTGCTGTCTTATTTTATGTGTGTGGGAGAGAGGAGGGAGTGAGAATGTGCGAGGATGAAGACGTGCTGCAGAGGTAGATTTGAAACCTGCTGTATCTGCTATGTTCATTAAGTCTGCACTAATTAGGGATCGGAAATCATTACCGTTTACTTCCCAAACATATCCTGGGAATTCAGAAAGATCAGGCACAATCGTCCCTTTCATGTCATCAGACAACTTTGACGGATTGCGGCACGCCCAAAGATGAAATTGTTCGTCTCCCATTAGGGTGTAAAGGCATCAGCTGCTAAGTAAACGTGCTAACGAAGAGACCGGCGAGCTGCGACAGTTGGCCCTGAGCGGCGTTCTCTTTGAGGCATTTTTAAAACACAGAGTGGGAACATGCTGCGCCTCACAAAATGATAAGCCGGGGGCTTCACAAACGTGCCATTTAAGGAGGAATGGTGAACCCAAAGAGCTCAAAGAAAATCAGCCGAAATTCTGTCTGCCAGAAACCGTATCAGGGATCGAGAGCGTATGACCTAGAAGATGCGCTGGTCAGATGAGATTAAATCAGATTCTTTTGAATGAAATTCTTGTTGGAACGTCCCAGTCAAAGTTCAAGTAAATCCAATGAAAAATTAATGGAGGGACTTGAAAATTGACATGCGTTAGTTTGCCCAGTGGACAGTGTTCCTTTGCAACAATAAGGCCAACCTTCGAATCATCAGTTACTTTCATCAGTTTTAATTAGTAGATACTGGAAACACAAATCAAGCTAACATTTGATCTAATGAAGATAAATAGGTTGTTGCTAATAAGCCTGTTCTTACCTAAACCTTGTGCTACTGTTCTCAAATTATAAAAATGGCAATAATTTATGACACATCAGGGACATATTAAGATATAAAGAACATAACAAAGTTATAAAATTATGAGAGTAAAGTTATATCACAAAAATTCAAGGATAAAGCTGCACTGGAGTAGTTGAAATAATACATCAGTTCAGTAGGTCAACATAGTCATATTATTATTCAAATTCAGAAGTACTTTTTTCATTCCAAAGAGAAATTAAATGTTGTTGTAGCTCATTAATTCATATTATTCAAGGAGTTATTGAAGAATTATTAGTTATTTATATAATAATATTAGTTATAGGTATAAGAATAAAGACACAGTATTACAAAAATCAAGTAGTGCAAGAATAAAGTCAAAATACTACAAGAATAATGTCATAATATTACAAGAATAGCGTTGAAATAATAAATGAATAAACTCATGATTTAAAAATTTAAAACATGAATTAATCTATAGAGCTTAATTCTTGCAATACTATCTAAATGTCTAGTAATATTACCGCATAGCATTACAAGAACAGTCGTACAAAAATAAAGTTGAAATAGTACAAGAATAAACTCATGTTTCAAGAATAAAGTACTAATATTATAAAGTCATAAAATTACATGAATAAAATTGTAATATTATGACTTCCCATAATAATGTGACTTTATTCTCGCAATTTTATTTACGTTTTTTATTTTCTCTGTCAGGCTCAAGTTACCCACCCAGCCAATAAAATAAAACCTTGAATGTAAAAAGTCTCGGTTGCTGTAAAGAGCACGTCTCTGCTTGGAAGTCGCCCGCTCCCTGTGCCACTTTAGAGGTCGGTTAGCGGTTAACGGTGGTGTTCTGTGTTGAAGGTTGTCGAGGCTCAGAGGCGAGTCCTCAGAGTTCTCCCACTCCATCCAGCGGGCCCCATGGAGGCTCCAACGAAGAGATCTGGGTTCTGCGCAAGCCCGTGGCAGGTAAATTAAGCCGCGTTGCGCTGAGCCCTCAACCTCTGACTCCTCCAAAAGTCTGAACAGAGCCAAACAGTATCTGACGTCTGTTGGTGAAAAACCCTTCCTGCCCAACGGTCCCCACTGTTTGAGCCGTCAGAGGATGGTGCTTGAAGGCATTCAGATACTTTTTGACCTGCTCCTGACAGTTCCCCCCTCCCATGTCCTGCTTCTCCCTCCATCTGAAGCCTAGCTGAGCTCAGTAGCCGTTTGTGTAGGCTGCAGGCATTTGCATCGGTCTACAGTCTGTGTAGAGAGCGAAAGATGAATAGAAGGAATAGTGTGCGTGTTTTTTGATGAGCGTGGAAGCAAGAGGCATGTCTTTTTTTCCCACTTTTGTGTTGGTCACTCAGTCATCTGTCGGCCTTGTCTGTCCGTCCTGTCCATCCAACCTCGCGCTGCCCAGTGCATTTCAACGGAGAGTCACACCACGAACACCGCAGCACCGAATACCAGCTAAACCTTTCTCTGTGTGTGTGTGTGTGTGTGTCTGCTGTGTGTGTTGTACGATACCTACACGCAACGATTGGGCAATTGCGTGGATGCGCGGTTGATTGGACATGTATGTTCCTGTGCACGCGTGTGTATGCGTGCGTGCGTGTGTGTGTGTGCGCGCGTGCATGCGTGCGTGTGTGTGTGTTACAGGTGGCGATCGCAGCAGCGTGGGGAGTTCTGGGAGTGTGACCAGTGTGAGGTCTTCAGGTAGCGGTCAGAGCGCCACCAGCGCGGCGCACATCCTCCACGCACAGGCTGAGGGCGTGAAGGTGCGACACATACACCGTAACACACATCTGACGCCACAGTTACAGCTACAGTGTCCAACTATCAGAATGAATTTTTTTTTCAAATTTGCTAAAACGATCATGTTTTTAGCAACAGTATAATATAACATAGATAACTAGTCTCCCTGGAACAGTAAGTTATTTCTCCCTGGAACAGTACGTGCTCATTGAGTAGCACGTACATGAGGATGATCGACAACGCGAAGACCCGCCTCCTAGCTCTGGTTGGTTGTTTTTGGTCGGGAGCGGTGCTTTTCTTCAGATGGCACTAGTAGCTGAGGAAAGAAGTGGACTGTTATTATTCTGTCTCATATTATGCTATCAATATATGTCAACAAATATGGAAAAAACAGATTTCTGGAAGAGTTACATATTTCACCTGTAAATCTTTAAAGTAGCAGTTTGATTATTTATGTTAGCACGTTTGTAATTATGCACCAAATAGTTGAGCAGCATGGAAAAGCGATTGCGTTGATCTAGCAAGTACAGAAACATGTATTTGTCTTTTTGTAAATCGTACGTAGAATGAAGTTGCACTGCACCATAGTTTTTCCAGGAGGCGCTGTTAGCAGATTTCACTCTCTTCCTTTTTCAGAAAATAATTTCTTTCATAAATGACTTCCTTCACATATATATATCATTGGTAACTTAATCTCATGCTGATTTTATGACTGTAAAATACCAGCAGAGCAATATCAAAGCATCAACCTGAGATATATCTTCAACATTGTTTTCCATATGGCAAAAATGATTGAACAAATCTTTAACATGCCTAATTTCCGATCACCAGTTTTAGTAAAACTCTTTCCTGAGAATGTTAGGCTTTTTTTTTATTAGCTCAAGCAGCACGCCTAGCATAACTAGCTATCATCAACAGACTTTGTGATTGTTCGAGGACCGGGCCTTTGACGCATTAATGTTGGTTAATGAACTACACAGGTTTTAACATGTTCAAACTTTCTTTTTCTTTTTTTTTTTTTACATACAAAGAATTTTTATTGTTGAGCTCATATCTCTATTTATTTAATAATTTAGCAGCAAAAAGGGTTTTCTTAAACTTCAGAGATATATTTTTTTGATTAAAATGCAATTAGCTACAATTAATGAACTACAGATCTTTCAAATATCTTGAATAAAGATGTCAATCTAGTCCCATCACTTGTTTATCCAATGCAGAGCATAGAACCTGATCCTAATTCTGGGAGATGGAGAATTTAAATGACAGGAAATTGAAAACTCAAAGAGGTCAAACAGCAAATTTGCTGTAAAGCATTCAGAGCTCCTCTTATCAGTTCAAGATGGTCAATACGGTTACGTTTAAATAAACCTTATAGCTGCTGTGCGTCCTCTTACTTCACTTTAATCATCTCTCTCACACTGTAAAACAGCAAACGTTTGAGGATATTTTACTCAGTAGAAGATCAGGTGTGGTAATAAGCACCTCGTTTGGTGAGACAGGGCTGTTACAGCGGCAGGTTGAATTTATAGCTCCCTGTTAAAAAAAAGTAAAATGCCAAACTTTGTTTTAAATGGAAATTGACCAGATTGCTTCGAGTCATTAACTTGCAGCAATCACTCCTACTGGAGTCCTGGCAGACATTGGCTTTATAGCCATTCCTCATAATGAACATGTATGTAGTGGCAGTGGAGAGGAATAACGCCCCTTTAACAGGAAGAAACCTCCAGCAGAACCAGAACCTGGCTCATTTGCAAGCCGCCATCTGCCACTGCCAACTGGGTTGAGGAGACAAAGAAGATGCACTCAAAAATAAGAAACAGAAATGGAAGTGAAAAGTTAATAGCATTAAGTCGTGAGATAGCCTTCCTTAATATATGAGCTTTAATGAGTCTCTCCATGTGTGTTTGCAGCTTTTAGCCACTGTCTTATCTCAGTCTACAAAAGCCAAGGAGCATCTGATGGAGCAGTCCAAGTCGGTGGACCAACCTGCAGGTCAGAGGAAGCAAATATTGCTGAGATACTTATACCAAGTTGGGGGGAAAAACAGGTGGAAACATAAGAATTTGGTGAAAAAAAAGAGAGATTTTGATTAGATAACGAAAGCCTTAAGGCTTTGGCCTTTTACGTAATGTCATCATATCACTTCTAAACACACACAGCTCTTGGCTTGTTCAGCAGACAGATGGCCAAGGCAGGGGATGTAGGAGGAAGTGTAGAACGGTATAATTGGTTCAGATTGTGTTTTATGTCTTGGAAAGCAAGAGTCTGATTGGTTGTTTGGCGAAGCAATCAGACAAGGCAGATATTTGAGTGTGAGGAGGGTAAAGGTCAGAGACCTATCCAGAGAAGTTATCTGTTGGTGGACGACAGCGTCCAAAGATTGGTCGACAGCTTGTCACCAGCCAATGATTTCTCTCCGCCGTCAGGCTCTGCCAGCTCCTCTCGGACGTCCAGCCAATCGGGCTGTCCGCTTCACGAAGCGCCGCCTTACGATGCCACGGCAACCAGGAAGGGGGAGGTTCCATGCGAAGGGAAGGTAGGACAGTCCTGATTCCCCACAGATTCAGTCTTCAGCAAAAAAAAAAAAAAGTCCTACTCAGTCAGTCGCCACCATGGGCTTCTAACTGCATCGTGATGAGGATGTAGCTCCACAGTCACCTCGAGCCCACTCGTACACACACACACACACACGCCCTCATGCATTAATACAACACACACCAACATGTCCCAGCGGTTTCTCTCGCAGCTGGCGTCGTCCGTGCTGCGAGTTTTCGGATGCAGTCACGACACGGTGAGTGCGTGTGTGGGTCTCATACGAATCTCTGCTCTATGATTCTAGCGTGTTTGTGTGACTTCATCATCCACTCCTTTCAGTTGCAGCTTCTCTTCTTCCATTGCAGCGTTTGTTTTCTTTTACCTTTGGAAAGAGTCTTAGGAGTCACTGCGCCACTGGCAAACAGAACTTTGACTGAGACAATGGTTATTGCTTGCGTGTGTGTGTGTGTGTGCGTGGACATGTGTGTGAGTTGTGGCAGGTGCCCAGGAATTGTGGGAGGAATCTCTCGGCACAAAAAAGTGTGAAATCTGATCTTACACCGTTCAGAATTGGATGCCATTTTCTGGCTTAGTGTCAATTTAGCTTCACGTCTAATTGCATATTATTATTTTAAGTTCTGAAGCGACGCAGCGAATTTTTGCTGGCGAAAGTGTGCGTTACTCGCCTGCGGTATTTCTGTGTGCTGCTATGTAAGCCATGTTCTGATGACCATCTGTTAGCTAGAGTGGAATCCTGACTCCTCGCTGGCCAGCCTCCCGATGCTTCCATCAGCAGGGAAACATGGCAGAGAGATGAGAGGGAGAGCCAGTCGTGATATAGAGGGAGAGTAGAAGACAAGATGCACCACAAGAGCAAAAATGAGTAGAAACAGCATTACAGATGCTGACAGCAGAAATGGACTCTGAAAACAAAACACTAATCTGGCCATTTTAAGAACATCTTCCTCTCATTTTCAGACTTGCGGCTAATAAATATCAAATGATTCTTTCAGTTGTGATTGTTTTCTAAAAACTCAGAAGATCCAATTAGACAAGAGCCCATTAATTGCTGAGAATACTGAAGTTTGTTTGTGGATTTAACAGTATTAGACTCATTGCCTTTGTCAATATTACTTTAATGTTGAAAAAACACAACTTTGCAATTTAACTGCACTCATTTAGAAAGGAGTGCAGTTAAAATCACATGTGAGTAAGGTTCATTAAAAGTCATGGTGGCAACAGATGTAAACATGAGAAATGTATTTTAGCCAGATTCAAACTGGTGTGACTCGTCTGATGCAAAAAAAAAAAAAAAACCCAGATAAAAAACGCGTTCTCATCACAGTTTTGCCAAATGCATCGATTTTGGTACGACGGAATAAACGCCTCATGCTTACCCAAAATCTTTTATTAAAGTTTTATTCAAAATTGCCGTGTTTCCACTCAGAAAATGTACTTTTGTAAATGTAGTTTTCTAATTCTACATTTTTACGCTTAAGAGAAACAAAGTTTTGCGTACATTTGTCTACAAACACAAAGAAATATCAACTGCAGTTTTTTGTAGTGTGTGTGTGTTTTCTGTCTCTGCTTACAGAGCACACCTCTACGTGCATGAGAACAGAAATCAAGTAATATAGACTCATGGACTGTCTCTATGTAAACATCACTTTGACTGACTGCAATTTTTTAGAATTTTGTGGAAATGTGGAAATGTTTTATCTTGAAGCCTCAAAGTGAAGAGCACCTGAGCTGCATGGTGCACTTGCTGGCACCCTGAGTAACGTGACATAAATATTATACTTCTATCAGATATTAAAAACTGGCCCCTCTGTGTAATTGCAACATATTTATGGTTGGTTTATCCTGCTACGTGGGATGGTCTGCTGTTTGACGACACAATCCCATTCCCTGAAGTTACGCTAACTGAGCTAACGGCGCATTTTACTTAAAGATTTGAAACGTCTCTTGCTTGTGTTTCATGGGGAAAATGTTATGAAGCAAAATTTGACCCAAGAAAAGTTTGTTTTAAAGTATTTTAAAACTTTATCAGCACTGTCGATAAGTTTTAGAATCACCACAATCAGTCTAAAAACCAAGGAAGAAGAGATTGGTCTCTCCTCTTCCTAACTTTAGATTCATTTTCACTACAATGCCAAGAAAGCCCACATGGGGCTAATTTATCAATTTAGGAGAAAGTCAAGTTAAAAGACCAGCCACTTTCTGTATTTATCTAAATCCGTAGAACACATGGCACCTTTTAACATTCATAAATGACCAATAATCACAGATTCGACCTGCAAGCTCGACGTTGAAGTGATCATTCAGTTACAACTCAGAAGTGGCCGCTGTGTGACCCCGTTTGGCTGATGAGAAGTGGCTGTGAAGCAGCAAACACGGTGCTAGTGACCGCATGCCCCCTGTCTTCTCTCCCGTAGAGCTCAGAGGCCGTTGTCCAATGGCTGAGCGACTTTCAGCTGCAGGTCTACGCTCCAAACTTCCTGGGCGCGGGCTATGACCTGCCCACCATTAGCCGAGTGACCCCTGAGGTAAGGCTACTGAACCCTGAACCCCAGAGAGCTCACACCTCCTGCGCCAAGGACCTCAGTGGAAACAAGTCTGACAGACTTTGCTTCATGCTGTCCTTGATGTTGTCCAGATGCATGTATATAATCTTCCACCTTTGCAAAAATCTCATGAATACAATTAAACATCGTTATGAACATGAGCCTCCCTCACCTCCCCCGTTGTTCTCTGCATCCTGTCACACCTGCCCCAGGTCATCTTTTGTTGTTTTACCCCTTTGCTGGTATTTTTCAGATGTTTTAAAAAAAAATTCATGTAATGTTGTAGCTGTCATGACGGCCCTGGCAAAAATGAACAATAAATCAGTCTTAAAAATCAAAATAAAATCCATATAAATATCGGAATCCTTGCAGATGAATTTACAGGTTTATTTGCGTGAGTCAAATGTGTTCAAACCAGTTTTACTTTTGCTTCAAACCTCTAAACCTCACACAAAGGAAGCTACCTAGCAGGCTGACATGACTCGGCCCTATTTAAATGAAGAGTGGCGCATGCGTCTGGCAGAAGGTTTGCCCACTTGTTACAATTACAATTTGATGTTTTTCAACATGTTTGCAACTTGCAGAATGTGCCAAAAAACATTTTGTCTGCTGAAAGTAATTTTTCCCCACATAGAAGGAAAAATATAATTGCTATTTGTACAAAAAATGATGTTAGGGACGTCACAGAGGGTGGAATTCATTATGTATTTTTAAATGTTTTTTTTCTAATTAAATTCTTTTAAACGTATTTCAAAGATCACATCAAGCGTCATAAAAGCAAATGACTCCGCTCCACTTGACCTCCTGACCTTTTCTACCCTGTGGCTGCTGCCTCCATAGCAACCTTATTGACAATCCCCACCATGCATGTCACTATATAAATAATTTTCAGTGGTTATAAATTATTTATATGAATATGCACTCTGTATATGCTGAAGTAAGGTTTAGGGCTTAGATTGAACAACCTTTCTTAAAAAAGCTGAAGGACTCCATTAGTGATTTGTCCTCTTGAGTTGTTTTGTCCACACAAAAATGAGTTGTCCTATCAATGATGTGGCGTGTGGGTCTGTGTGAATGTGTGTTGTTGATGTTTTACTGTAGAAGTGTCTCCCTGTGTGTTTACAAAAACTATATCTGAGTTCCGTCATCAGAAGTCAGGCAGCTTTGGACGTTTAGACACTTCCTTTCATTGCGGACGCTTGTGCTCGTCTTCCCTTGCCTTTCATTTGATCTGCGGTCATTTGCATCATCATGCTATTCCTACCGATTTCCAGAAGCTTCCATCAGGTGTCACGCCGTCCCATGTCTTCCCTCTGTGAGCATGTCTGGGTGAGAGAACGAGAGAGAAACACTGCCGGACTCTTGGACTCATGATACGACAGTGCTGTGGAGGAAAATGCAATCAAAATCGGATCTTAACGTGTTTGCTTGTGTGTGTGTGTGTGTGTGTGTGTGTGTGTGTGTGTGTGTGTGTGTGTGTGTGTGTGTGTGTGTGTGTGTGTGTGTGTGTGTGTGTGTGTGTGTGGGGGTGTGTGTGTTTGTTAGGATCTGACTGCTATCGGAATAACCAAACCTGGTCACAGAAAGAAGATCACATCAGAGATCAACAAACTGAGCGTCACAGAGTGGCTGCCAGAGCAGAAACCTGTGAGTAACAGCCTTTGCTTTTGATAGTTATGTTTTTTATGAGCTATTTTTTATTATTTTATGCTTTGATGCTTCTCAGACTAAACAAACTGATTCTATTGTATATCAATAAGGGGTCTAATCTGGTTACATAAAGACGATCATCATAAATAGTAATAGTGGCACATAGTTGTTTTCGGAACTTTTTCTGAACACGGAGGGAGAGTTTCGTTTTCATACTTATTACATTACTTGTCATGTTACAACCAACAACTTAAAAGGAATCAGATTAACTTTAAAAAAAAAAAATCTGAAGTATGCCTGGAATTTCTTTATATATATAAAAAAAACATGTATTATATCTTTTACCAGTTTTCCGTATGTTGAAACAAAAGCCACTGCAGGCTGAGTAGGTTTTGGTATCATATGGTATTATATTGTATATAAGCCACGGTTTTGTGTTTTCGTACATATTTTTAGAATTTATCACAGTGAATTACGGTTCAATCGAAACAAAATACACTCACAGAATGACGCGAAGCAGAATAATGATCTAGTACAGGGGTGTCAAACTCCAGTCCTGGAGGGCCGGTGTCCTGCAACTTTCAGATGTGCCTCTGCTGCACCACACCTGAATAGAATATTAGATCATTAGCAAAGCTCTGGAGAACAAGGAGGAGATAATTAAGCCATTTCATTCCAGTGTTTTGTGCCTCTGGCACATCTAAAAACTGCAGGACAGCGGCCCTAGAGGACTGAATGTTGACACCCCTGATCTAGAATGATGATTGCAGAATTAATAATGACAGTCAAAAGAAAAGTTTGCAATAAAACTCTCACCCATCTATCTGTTGGCCACGCTCACCTCTGGTAAATGATTTGTGACCCCAAGCCTTGGTAATCACCTGAGGTGCAGGAAAACATGAACACCTGCACATGATGCAAAAGATTTTTACTTCTAAAATGAATTTAAAGCTGTGTTTTTTGTTTTCCTCTTTGCAGTTATTGTATTGGCTGCTTTCTTTTGCCCCTTCACACAAAACCCCAATAAAAATACACAGAAGTTTCAAGTAATATGACAAAATGTTTAAAAGTTAAACTGGTGATTGACTGATTCACCATGACTGCAGAGCAACCTGGGGGAATGGTTGTCGGCCATAGGTCTGAGCCAGTACCACCAGGTGTTGGTGCAGAACGGCTATGAAAACATCGACTTCATCACAGACATCACCTGGGAAGATCTGCAGGAAATAGGCATCACCAAGCTGGGTAAGATATGTTAGCATGTGTCAACAATCTATGTTTTCCTTCTGGTGTTTTGAAGACTTTGTGCTGAGGCGTTCGTGCACAACAGATCTCTAAAATAATCTAAAATTGATACAAATATTGCTAATTAGCATTGTCAATTTGCCTGATAGTATCTTTCAGTGTGGGCTGGGTTGCCTGTTGAAAAGGCTTTGCAGGTTAACCAGTTGCTAAAGAGTTAAAGGAATGTTTAAATAAGTGGGTTTTGTTCTGATGTGACCTCTGTTAAACTGTAATGCTAAAGGTCACCAGAAGAAGCTGATGCTGGCCGTGAAGCGGTTGGCTGAGATGCAGCGCAGCTCAGATGGGCGGGGCTCCCTTCGAAAGAAGCCGCCGCCAATCACACAGCAGCAGGAAGTCATCTCTGTGGACAGCCCGCCCCCAGATGGTGAGCACGGTACAAATAGATTTTAGTTTGTCTTAGCTTCTTAGTTTCCTTTAGGCTGCCTTGAGGTCCAGCCCTCACACAATAGAACAATACCCAATCACTCCTGTATCCTACGCAACTGAGAATAACTAATGAAAATCTCATTCTCCTTCCAGAGGTCATCATGTCTCCAAAGATGAGTACCTTCCAGGACAGTGAGTTGAGCTCAGAGCTTCAGAATGCCATCATTCACCCAGGTCAAGAGGTCAGAGTTCAGCGAACTCGCACCTTAAGTAAGGACCACGACGACATGATCACTGGAGGTGGTGGGCCGCCAAAGAAGGAGGCACGGACGGTGAGGCAGCAAAGCAGCCAGGGAAGCTCCTCGTCCCACAGAAGCAGCGTTTCTTCACAAGGAAAACACCGTCACTCTCACAACCAGCCAGCACCTCCCTACACGCCGCCACATACACCCACCAAGACCAGGACTTCGTCCTCCTCTTCCACCTCCTCCGTTCAGAGCAGCGCTTCCCCACAGAGCAAAACCAAACCATCACCCCAGGCAATACAAGGGGAGCAGTCTCCCCTGCACTCACACCAACCTCAGTCTCCAACCCACCGTGGAGCCCCGTGTCAAATCCCCCAGCAGCAGCCGCAGCCTCAAGTTCAGCAGCATCAGCCCCATCCTCAACACCACCCGCAGACACAGGTGATGGAGGTCAGAGAAAGCCCACAGCAGCAAGTTCCACACCTCTGTCTACCACCCGAAGCTGAACTGGAAGAGGCTGAGGGAGCGGAACCTGTGGCCCTCAAGAAGAAACGTGCCCACAGCCTCAACCGATACGCCGTGTCAGACGGGGAGTGTGATGAGAAAGTAGGAGGTGGAGATGGAGAAGGAGGTGGAGGAGAAAAGGAAACAGAAGTTGTAGTAGTTCAGACCTCTGCAACTGCAAGAGCGGACGGAGTGAAATACGCTACGGTGACCCACCGCGTGAGCCGCAGCCATTCAGTCCGCAACCAGGAAAAGACTGCCGGCCGCAGCCACACACAATCCTTTGCTTTGCGTCAGAAGAAGAAGGGTCCTCCACCACCCCCACCCAAACGCTCGAGCTCTGCTATCTCCAGCTCCAACTCCAACTTGATGGAGGCAAATACACAGCAGCAGACACACACCACCACTGGAGGGATGCTGGATGTGCCTTACCACCAACAGCGGAGGGCCAGCGACCTGGGGGTGTCTGTGGAGACAGCTGCAGTGGAGACCAACAGCATGGGCAGTGTGAGGAGCATTGCTGCCATGTTGGAGATGTCTTCCATAGGGGGTGGGGCCAAAGGCATGGCACTGCAAAAGAATTACCTGCAGGTACACATCTGCCTCTCTATAGCAGATTACTTACACTGTTTTGGAAAAACATTGATAATTGTTGACGGGATTTGCCAGGTTGCAACCAGTGATGTCCAAAGTGGCTGGCAGTTGTGCCTTTAACAGATTTTCAATTTCTTTTTTGCAAGTAGGGAAATTTGTGGCCCCTTAAGTTGAGTTGCTGCAGGTTTATACGTAATATAAGATTCAGATTCTCGATCCTAAAGAACAAGCAAAAAAAAACTTTTCAATTTCACTGTCATTCAGGTGGGAAAAAGCCGGGAGGCCATTGGCCTGGACGGCGAAGTGGTGAACAGGCGGCGAACCATAAGTGGACCCGTGAGCGAGCTGGTGGAGGCGGCCAGGCGGGAACAACCGACTCCACTGGATTTCGCCCCGACCTCCGCCCAACCTCAACCTCAGTCCCCCCCTCCCCTTGTGAACTCCTCTTCACCTCACCCTCCATTTTCCCCGGTTCCCTGCTCAGGAGGGAGTGGTAGCTCCTCGGAGAACCTTCCATTCGCAGAAGAGGGAAGCCTCACCATCCGCCGCCAAGCTCGAGGAGAAGGAGAAGGACAGGTAACTATCTAACTATCTGTATATATATCTGTTTGTCTACTCGTCAGTCAGTCTTTTCTACTCTACATTATCTGCGTAATGTTCTAAAAGTCAGTGTGCTCTGATGTGCAAAGCTACAGTTGAAACTAAAGCGCCTGCTCAGCTTTTATTGTCGTTTCCATTTATCTTTGTTCATGCTTTGACTGTTTGTGCAAGAATGACCTTTTATCATGAATGTATGAACTTTCCGTTAGTGTGTATTTTGTGTTTGTCTGCAGGGTGACGGCGACGCCCCCCCGGGAGACGGGGGCTTCACCCTGGAGGACACCCCTGAAGCCACAGGAACCTTAAAGCGACGGCCTCGTATTTCCAAGTCCCACCCCAACGGTTCGGATTTCACCCTTCAGGAGTCGTCCACCGTAAAACGCCGGCCCAAGAGCCGTGACAAGGAACCCGAAGGCTTCGCAGAAATGGCCGCTGCCAATGGGGAGGTGGTTGGCACCGGGCATCCCAACACCACACAGCCGATGCCGTACCAGAATGGCACAGCCACCGTAAAACGCCGCCCACCATCTGAAACTGGAGTAACTGAACAGCCGCAACCTCAGCAACAAGTGACCCCGACCCCCTGCAGGGACAGCACCGACCAGGGAGCTCCTGCAGTGAATGAAGGAGGCCCTATGAGGAAACCAAAACCTCCGGTCTCCCCGAAACCCGTCGTGGCACAGATAAAGAGACAAGGAGGCCCACAGACCTCACCACAGGCCACCCTCAATAAGAGAGTCCCCCTGCCAGGGCCAGGGACCCCTGGAAGTCCAGGTACTCTGTCATGTACCATGCCATGATTTTCAGAAGTTCCCTTGCATGTCATTTTCATTGGGGCTTTTAATTATGCATTACAATTAATTTACAATGATCTTTATAACCTCCATATTGAAGCTGGAACTTACAATTTGTTCTATAACTGTCGACAATCGACAACAAATTTTTGTTTATGTCCTAAAATATTTTATTTCAAAAATCTTAACATTGTTTATTCAATATTACATCTTGGGGAAAAACAGTTTAATTGACTCATTAAAAGTCAAATTGAATTCAATATCCATGAGGTTTATGAAAGCTTCTGAAGTTCTGACAAGAGCCATACTCTCTCCATAAATAGCTTTAGCAAGCAGTGGCCCTAAATGTTATTGCACAGCTTTTCTGCTGTGCAATATTGATTTTCATGTATTGATTTTATACAAGAAAATGTTCACAGCACACGTTCCTGCTTTATTCTTTTTAACATGACTTTTTTTTTTCTCCTCTGTGTGTAGTGGAAGGAAAGAAGATCCCTCCACCGGTCTCACCGAAACCAGCACCCCCACCTACGGCGCCAAAACCGGCCAAGCTGATCCACTCTATGACAAGTCCCGCCTCCCCGACTTCAGTTTCCACCCAGGTCAAGCAGCACTCTGTGGTGGCACGGCAGACCAGTTCACCTACTTCCTTCCTGCCATGTAACACCTCCAACCCTCCAGTCGCCAAGCCGACAAGCCCTTCTTCTCAAAGCCCCCACACACCGCAGACCCCCACCACCCCTCAGACGCCTCAGACGCCTGCGACTCCCAGCCCAACGCCGCCGCCCGTAAAGCCCCCCCGCTCCTCCATTGGGGGCGTGTCAGTGGACAGTGGGATTGCAGGAGGAGCCGTCACACCACAGGCCTCCACAACAACAGACTTTGGTGTAGACTCTTTGGTGCATCAAAAGCTGGAAGAGACGAGCGCATCCCTGGCTGCTGCTCTGCAGGCTGTAGAGGACAAGATTCTACGGCAGGACGAGTATGAAGCACACACACCTACATACAGGGATTTGTAGTTTAAGAGACCATTTTGACTTCTGTGGTGTTTATGGGGACATACCTTTCCCTTCATATATATACTTTATAAAGTAAAGTTACAAACTGCAGCTTCAATTTCACTTAGAAGTGGACGGGGTCAGGAGGGACGTGGTTTAGAGCTGCTGCTGATTTACTCACCTGTTGCTAAGTGTAGTAAAAGGGACAGGTGTAAGCTAAATATGAATATCTTGATCATTTCTTTCCTTAATTTATTAATTTATTTAATTTTTACTGCGAAAAAAAAACTATAGAAAACACAATATAATTAATTTTGTAATTGACAGGACCCCATTTTTTTAATGTCTATGAACAAAAAAATTAATAAATTGCAGAGGGCCCCCTACTGATCAGGGGCCCTTGGAATTGTCCTAACTTTTCCCCGCCACCCCTGGGTACGGAATAGCAGTGTATCATCTATGTAAAAGCATACTTTCCTTTCAGATTCCTTAACCCAGAATCCAGTCATTATTTTTTCTTAAGGTGAACAAGGCAGGACTAAGGCCTTTATTAGACTTAGACTTACTTTATCGACAATAAAATCCCATTGCTTGGCGACCAGAATACACAGAAAGAATACTGAAAAACTATAAATGCGACAACAGTTGTTCATATGTACAGTACATATACATACATATATGCATGCATGCATATACATTTAAAATGAACCCTAGCCCTTTTTTACTTGTGCAGGTAGAAAAGAAGAAATATGCGAATAATATATTGCTAAATATATATAACAGGCAACAATAAATACAATATTGAACTGTTAAGACATTCAGGAAAGATATTGTACTTTGCCTTTTCAGACAGTCTGAGTTATTGGTTTTGAGTAGTATATTATGAATTAATATTGCAGTCTGTTACTGAATTTTCCAGGCTAGCTTTAGCTAAATTAGCAACGAACAAAACCTCTGAAAGCCATTTGTTTCTTAGCAAGGTTACATGCTTTATTGTAAAACCAAAAAAAATACTACAGCAGTATTCATCAGTTTATAGATATGAACTCCCTATCAGGTGCTGTAATCGTCTGCCGGTGTTTGTGTTTGCATCCAGCTCTGTGGCTGAGCAGAAGACAACGGTGAGCATCCTCGATGACATCGGCAGCATGTTCGATGACTTGGCCGACCAGCTGGACGCCATGTTGGAGTAAACGATAGAATCCCAGTCGGCGAATCTCCACGGCAACACTGCATTGGGACTGAATCAGACAGCACAAAGAGGCAACCCTCCTGTCTGTCTCTCTCTCTCTCTCTCCTTCTCTTCATCCGCCTCTCTCCTCTTCGCTCCGAAACTGCTGTCCATCCTTCTGCCCAGAGGAAGCTTGATTGTTTTCTTCTTCTCCTTTCCTTTGCACGATGCAAAAAAAAAAAAAAAAAAGAAAACAAAACAAAAAAAACAAAGAAGGTGATGGAACAGCAGCAGCAGCAGCAGCAGAGGCCTGGACAGAGATCACAGCACTGAAAAACTGACAAGAAGAGGGGCAGAAAAAGAGAGATTAAGAAGCTAAACTATCGAGAGACAAAAAAAGAAAAAAACACCTAAGAAGGATTAATAAAGAAATGAATCACAGTGAAGAAGACTGCAATCACAACGTGAGTCTTTAAAGAACTCCACATGAACAAATACTAATACAGATTTAAAAACCAACTGTGTAATGAATCATAGTACGATATGTGTACATTCTAAAGCATGGAGAGTTTATATCTACTGACAAAGTCCTGCATTAGCACAGTAATATATGATATACGCCGATAAATATCAATCTCTAGCTCTTTGATTTGATGTCCTGGTTCTGTGTGGAATGGTGACCTCTGGTGTTGTGATGATGTAAATGACTTGGTGGAAAAATTATTCTATGTGACCAAATTTGAGACACTTGACCTCTCGATGGGTGTGCGTGTGTGCGCCGTTCGTACGGGTGGATGTGCATCATGGGAATTTTCAGGATCGCCATTCGGCTCCCCGCAGTTGGATCTGAGTCGCATCGCCCCGCGTATGCACACACACACGCAGACAGGCCCACTCGCACACAGCAGAAGCACAACGACCCACGCAGCCGGCTTGCACACACACACACACACACACACACACACACACACACACACACACACACACACACACACACACACACGCATACGTGCAAACACACAAACTGGAACCTTTATAATATGAATGAAAATGGTGTGAAAGTGGGACAGCACGTCATTTTGGGGATTTGGCAGGTAGTCAAAACTTCAAAACATTTTAGAAAGGCTGAGGTAGATGAGTGTGACATTTCCCCCGGTGTGTACAGTTGGATGGGTCCAAGTTGCCCCCAAAGCACCTTATGAAGGTCAGCACAAGCACCACGGTCAGAGCTGCGCGTCAACAAAGAGGGCTTCAAAAACACCGCTGACGGAAGTGCAGCAGCAAACTTCAGGTTCCACTGTCCATCCTGCTACCACAACCTCAACTCCATAATAATAATAATAAGTATAATACATCAAACTCACATAGTGCTAGTAGGACACTCACAGACACTTTTAAATCCAAAACATCAAAACCAATTTTTTCATTTCAGCCATTGGAATTATTGTAATCCTAGTCAAAATAAATTGAATGTTTTTTTTTCTTCTTACTGATTTAGTGAATAAGTTTCAGATTTTCACACTTTTCACATTCTGATTCAAATTTGAAGTGCAATGCTAATCAAGGTGGGCAAATTATGATACCACCACTACCGTGCCTCAGGCAAGGAAAGCTTCTTACTGATAGTAGTGCGTAGCATAAAGGTCCACCCAAGAGAATTCAGTCACCCGAAACAAATAAGCTTTTTCCAGCTGACCTGATTTCTCATTGGTTTTATTTGTACTTAATTCAACAAAATCCCAACTTTTCTGAGCGGCCTAAGATGGACTCCCCTGCTTCTCACTTTAGAAGCACTATTCATGCCCTGACTTGCAAACTTACCTCTAACCTTTTGAACGTTGTCACATTTGATCACGTTACAAACACAAATTTTTGAGGTATAAATTGCCATTTATGCAATTGACCAACAGGAAGTCGTCTACAGCTGTGAGGTGGACTAAACAATGAGATGATGGTGGCAGCATCTCAATCTGGAGAGGCTTTAACCAACACACCACAGCTATCATTTAGATCAAAGCATATTTGTGTGTTAGAATGACTAAATATAAGTGAAAAAAAATCTGTAATAAAAGTTTGAGTAGCATTAACGCTTTTGCAAGATCACAGTTCTTTCCAGCTCTTCTGAAACTAACAATCCAACCAACCAGGCCTCAAAACTCACATCCAATGTTAAAACTAAAAAATAAAATAAAAGTGAAATTACACTTTAATCACTGACATTCCAGCACTTAACTCTTGCATTTTCCATCCCACACGCCTACAAGCCCCTCATCTCGTTTCGCCATGACAATCTACTGTACCACATCCCCATTTTTTACTGGCTACAACACGTAGCCTTGATTTTTGCGTAAACGAGACGGAAGTCAAAAGGCAGCGATCAAGAACTGCTAAGCGTGACGGTTTGATTTCTGTTATGTTTGACCAAAAAAATAAAAAAGTGCAATACTCCAGTATTCCATGTGCTCTCCCCATAAAGGAAATCGGTCTTACAGCAGCTGTACTCTTTGTCTATGAATAAATAATAATTCAGAGAATAGTTGTGGTATTTAAATTCTGATGACATAGAGAATATATATATGGATATTTGCAAAAGAAAAAAAAAAAAGAAGTGTATTTATGATGTGTGTGTCATCCTGAAGAGTATTTTTCAAAGTGATCAGATCTAATCTGAGTATTCAGAATCAGTTTGCTTCTCCATGCTTCGGTGGTCTCAGCTAAATGAATCATTGTAGGATACCATGTTGGGTAATTTCAAGGAAGTGTTCTTTTCTATTATTATTATTATTATTATATTATTTTATTGTTGTTTTTTTTCTGCATACATGTGTCAGGATGTGGCGATGTTTATATTACAAGCAATTCTTGTTGTTTCTTTTTGATATGGTTTATGATTTTTTTTTTTGTCTTTCAAACATGTGCCTTGCTTTGTGGTTTTTGGTCTAACTTCAATACAGTAGGTGGCTATGTAAAGTATCAGGGAATCACTCTCTTTTTCCCTCTCCACTGTCACAGGTGCATTTGTTAGAGCCATGAAACCGATCGCTTCCTCATCTGGACAACCGGAAACCATCGCGTTGCACTTGGCTCAAGTTGGCTGCATGCATCAAACCCACATTAGCAAACGCAATTTGTCTCTGCACTTAAATTCGCTTTGGGAAAAATGCACACTTTCCTGCTAAGAGTAAAACAACTTGATCGATAGCGTCTAGCTTCCTAATGTATTCCTATGTCACACGTTTATGTTCATGCTTTGTGTGTCAGTTGCGCAGGAAGACGTACTTTGGCTTTTGGTAAATAATTCTTCAGCATCACTAGCCGTGTTTCTGTCACAAATGTACGCAAAACTTTGTTGAAATTAATCTAAATGAAAAAAAAAAAAAAATTGATCCTGTTTCATCTCAAAGTCCATGTGAGGAGATAAAGGAAAGTTTTAGTTTGAAAAAAAAAAATACACAGGTGCAGCTGTGGGCTAATGTGGGTCAATGACCTTTAACTCTCTGTGGCGTTGGGTTTGCTGCTTAGCAATCAGGTCTCTCATCTCTTAGCATGAAGGTAACAATTCCCAATATGTGAAATTCTGAATTACCAGAGAGAAATTGAGCTTATAAATGCTGATCTGTGGCATTTTTAAACTCCCTCAGGCGTCGTTTATGATAATCTGGTTTGTGCATGTAATAAATCCATTGGTTAATTGCTAACTTTCAGCCACTCCTTCGAAATGTCCCCTTTCTCTTAGTTTTGAACCCAGGCACCATCGCATCAGACAAGTTTTGCTTCCCCCACCCTCCATCTTCCTTGATTGGGTCGTCTCTCATCTTATAAGCGTTGTGTTAGAGTGATTGTGTGGTCATGGGTTGAGGTCAAAAACAGAATTCTGGTCCATCTCTTGTTTCTTAACAAAAGATGAAGCTTTTTATTGGATCTTCTTCGCTCTGCAGTGACTGTGTGTGAATGCTTGAGAAAGGGCCAAAGTGTGTCAAGTGTTGCTCTGCTATTGATTGTGTGAAATCTGTGTGTGTGTGTGTGTGTGTATGCGTGAGTGTGAGAGTGTTTTACTGATTGGACAGATGTGTGCTTGCAGCAACTGCATCTTATGGCCATCTGCTCTCAATAAATTAATGTTCTATATAAACATAACTGAGTGCTGTTTTGTTGCGGATTAAAATGGACCCAACTATTTATTGTTTACTTGTACTCCTAACAGCAGTTAGCGAGGTCAGTGGGTTTAGCAGTTAGCAAGACTTCTAACTGGAATAAAGGTGATGTCATTTCCTAAGTCTGAAATACAACTTCCTTAATTTTATAGATTGTTTTACAAGAATAAATACAACTTCCTTTTTAGTCAATGTAGGACTAAGATGATAAATACTTTAGTAGGCTGGGAGATCCATGATTTGCATGCTTGGTGTTGGGTTGTTTTTTCCTAAACAAAAAGTAAAAGCGAAAAATATTGGCGGCTGCAAGAATGGAAACCTTTTTCAAAACAAAGGTCCACCAGGAGTTTTAGACGTGATTGCAAAAAAATCTAATTCACAATTATGAGATTGAAGGTCAGTTTCAGCTTTCAAAGTCTTAGCAGATACAAATTCACAGCGTTTCTCAGAGGCTTTCTCCAGTATCTCATAATCATGATTTTAAGAACCCAACGAGTCAACTGGTAGACACTAAAATAGATTCATAGTAATAGTGTTTTCAACCATTAGAGGTTAAAATCGGGAAAAAAAAACATACTAAAATATGTTCAGCTTTAATAGCTACAGTAGTGCATTAAAATGGGCATGTTAAAATGTTTTAGTACGCATTTTAATGTGCACCAGTAAAGCACAACAATCCCTAGTTGACTAAAAAAACTCAAAAATGCTCACTCATTTCCTCTGTGAAGTTTTTTGTGAATACTGGTGAGTATAAAACCTTAACTGGAACCTCCAACTAGTATAGAGAAGAAAATAATACTGTACCTTTGACTGACATGTCAACTGGTAAAGCCTAAAATGTGCATTAATTAAAAGCTGGTAAAAAAGAAACTAACATTTTTCTAAACTGGTTGCCATAAGTGAGGGTTCGTCCACTAAATGGAGTCAGCCGTCAATTATATTCACATTAAATCAAAGGAATCAGCAGCCATCGAAGAGTACAACCGTTTTATTGATCAGTGATCAAGTCGACCTTAAATGATTACAAGTATACAAGAAATCACTGAAGCCGCTCAGTGAAGACACTTTGTCTCATTCTTTCTTTCTTCTGTACCAAAGCTACAGTCAATATGAGCTGAAATAAAAACACTTTCCAAACTTTATAGCTAAAACGTGTAATATGCATGATCATATCAACAGTCTGCAGTTCATATTCTTCATTACTGTCAACCCAATATGGGTCCTCAAACATCAAGACTTAAGATTAATGTCCATCTCTGCCTTAGTTTTTGTTTGTTTGTTTTAAAGTTATTTACAGTTAACTACTTTGGTGGTATTATTCTGGAGTTTGTTCATAATTCTTTGAGAACAGAAAGGAGTGTAAGACGTATCGATACAACTCTGATATATGGCACTCGTTTAAAAAAACAAAAACAAAACGCCTTTACGCTTCGACAGGCACATCACATGCATGAACAAAGACCAACGTTTCAGCTGTACAGGCGCTGAATGCAACCTCGTCATGGCACTAATAGATCCTCCACCCTAAACAAGGTGCTGTTTTATAAAGGCCGCTGAAAGAAAAAGACAATGCACTGAAGATGAAACCGATGCTGATGACCACTTCAGGGTTTGTATCTTTAGTGGTCGAGTTTAAAGTTTACAGTAAAAACCACAACATCTTCAAAAGCCACGGGAAAGGTCAGTTTCTGGAGCGAGTCCGGTCTTTGAGCATCAGGCGCCGGTAGTGGAGCTCTGGAAGAGGTGGGCGGGCGGGGGTCCGCTTCCTGCTCCGTTCTGTCCGGTTCGAAGCGGCTGTAAGGCGGCCGGTCTGGTCGGAGCCGGGGATGAATACGGTTGGAGGGAGCGAGTCGCCCTTGGAGATGTTGACGGAGAGTTTTGGAGAAGTTCCTGGAGCGGATCGTCTGCTGGACGCCGTGAGAGCCAAAGGGTTTGTTCAGCATGTCCACACCTGAGACAGAGACACGATTGGTCACTTTTCTCTGTCCAGTTCCAAACTCCAAACATTTTCAGACAAAGAGGCTGTTTTTTTGACCAGTTTCTTTAGTGGAAGTACATCATTTCACCGTGAATCTTTGAAACGGTGCAAAAAATATTTTACTGGGCCATAAATTGTCCCAGTAGTTGTTGCAGTAATATTGTTGTTTTGAGATCATTTCCAATTAATGATGTCATAATAATGCAAGCACTTAATATGAAAGAAAAATAAACTTTAAATCCTAATGAACATTTAGCCTGAAACTGGAAGACATTTTAAAAATCCAAAATAAAAAAAACAGAAACAACAAATAAAATGAATCATGAAAACTCGGGAAGCAAAAATGTCCTTCGAAGAAAAGTTTAGTTGAGACCAAAGCAACAGATTGAAGACTTTTATTATTAAATTTTTGGTAGAAAAAGAGAAAAGAGAAAAACTAAAGATGACATTTCGTCGACAGAATTGGGAATAAAGTCGGGAAATATAAACCTGTGAATGATTTTAGATTGAATAAAGCAGTGTCTAGAATCGGCAGAATATTCTCTAGCGCTGTCTTCCAGAGCTCATCAAGTTCCAGATTATTTTTACAAAGAGAGAGATTAAAGGAGGTGACTGACTGGGTTGCTTTGTGGCAGCCTGATGACTGGCCTTACCTTAACGGTGCTGTCCACCGCTCCGGAGAACAGGCGCCCCCTAGAGACGGCCAGTGCCGTTACACTGCCCTGGTGCCTGAGCAGAGTTTGGGTACAAATCATATTGTCCATGCTCCACACCTGCAACACAAGCCGCCAAGTAAGAGCGTTAGCTTCCTGCCAGGCTGTGTTATAGTCAAAACACACCCTGTGCACTTTTATAACACACACACACACACACACACACCCTGACAGAGTGTGACTCACCCTGAGGGAGCGGTCATAGGAGGCGCTGAACACTTTAGTCTGGTCCGGAGTGGAGATGACAGCCAGAGCGTAGACTGTTCCAACATGGCCGGTCAAGGTTCGGACCTGCTCCTTAGACTCAATGTCCCACACCTGCAGTGGACACACACCATCAGCAACAACATCAGTCACCCAACAGGCGCCAACTTAACCACTGTGTAGCTACAGGTAGAAACTTTTCTGACAAAAAGTTAATAAATAAAAAATGATGATTGGCCAAAAGCGGCATCAGCAGGTCAGGCTTGCAATTGGTTCAAACCAACCAAACGGACAAGGCAGCATTCAGTGTGTGTGTGTGTGTGTGTGTGTGTGTGCGTGTGTGCCTTACATGGATGAGGTTTTCATAAGTGCCGCATACGATGTGGTGGTTGGTGACAGCAATGGAGTAGACGCTGCCCCCGCTGGTCTGGAGCACATGAACGCACTCCAGAGAGCGGATGTCCCAGATCTGAAAACAGAGTTAGACCAAAAACTCACACCAGTGGAGCACCATAACAAACCAGTAAAACTAAGACCAGTTGAACCAATTAGACTTTGTTTTACTGGAAGAAAAATCCAACTAACTAGCGATAGACACATTTCTTTTAGCCATCAGACCATTAAATCAAGGTCAGGAGAAGGATTAAATAAATACTCCTTTCTGATTCTTTTCAAATAGAAAAATAGTGGTAAGTTGATTATTTTCTTTGTTTTAAAAACCTATTTGAAGTAAATAAATAATAAAATACCAGCTGTAGCAGCTCAATCAGAGCTGAACATGTCCACATGTCTCCTTTTGGAGGACAGAATAAACTGGACTGGTTATTCCCCCAAAAATCAATTTAAGCTTCAAATTAAACCCCCCCAAACAAACACATATCATGTTTTTATTTTTACTTGTATGGACAGAAGCTAAAACAAAACTGCAGCCAAACCCGACTCAGATCTGTCCCTGGCTCATAACCACGCAGCTCCACCTGCCAAGCCAAACATTTCCAGATCGTCCGCCTGCTGCTTCCTTCAAACCCACAACGTCCAACTGGACCCGTTTTTAAATTAACAGTGGAGGACAATTACATATGTTAACATGATATTAACAAGAAACAACACCCTTGGTGATAAATATCAAAAAGTCAACCTATAAAGAAAATGAGAATGCTTTAATGCTTATATCTTACTGATGTTTGTCTATTGCCTCCATTTCATCCTCATTGAAACAGATTATCTTTCTGAAGCTCCGCCTTCAGGAAATCATCACAACATGGCTCATCTATTAACCCTTTAATAACTTTTTTACCAGCGTTTCACTGAGAAGTAAATCGTATAATGAGCCCGTTTGCTAATCACTGCTGGCTAGTCGGTAGGAGCCGAGTCGAGGGAGAGCTGAGGGTTGCCACGGGAAATGAAAGGATTCCTCAAACATGCATGAAAGAGTCAAAGTGAGGCTCCTGACATGTTTTTGATGAGGAAATGACATCACAAGATGCAAAGCTAAAAGAAGAAGTTGATTTCCTGTCGAGCTTAATGAGGTCGCCTCCACGTGTTGCTGCGTACCTTGATGGTCTGGTATGAGCCGCTGTACAGGTGGTTCTGGGACGCCACCAGCGCCCTCACCCAGTGGTTGAGCCCCGTCAGCTCCTTCTTCAGCTTCAGCTCCGTCCCAACAATGTCCCACACCTGGAGACACCAAAGAGACGCAATTAAACACGGCGCAAACAATGAGAGACAAGAAAAAAAAAATACAAACTGGAAAGACTGTTGCGAAATGAGCTTTAAGGGCTCGCTCTTTTACTGCTCCTTTTAATCTGGGTTTAGAATGAGTCACCAGTGACTGCAGTCACACACTGAAACTGTTACACAATGATCTAAGAGCAAAACCACGCAGAGCCTGAACCTGAGCGTGGACACGTAGCGCGCCGAGCAACGAGTCTGACCGGGGGGAGGAAGTTGTGCAACATAGGAAAGTCCCTCAGTAGGAGCAGCAACACAATGGCCCTCTGCCCCCATGTCTTGTATCCATGGCAACAAAAAGTCAAGGCCAGAGATAGTCTGCATTCAGCCTGGTCACCGGAAAACATGTCCGCAATG